TCTTTCTAGTTAACCAGTGCAGAAATACAGCTCCTATTTCTATTAACCGAGTGAAATCACCAGAGAGCATTTAGTATCCTCTGGGAGTTTTATGACAACACAGGGAAAATTGTCCCCAGCAGCAGCTGAAGCCTCAGGAGTTATGTGGAGTTGGGTTCACTGCCACAGTCAGAGACATTTTCAAATTAATTTATCAGCATCTGGCCTTGTATCCAATCACAACAAACAGTGGGAAATCTTGATGGACCATGGAACCTCCACGGGTTTGATTCAATATCCTACTCTCCACTCAGTAGATGAACACAGGCCAGAGAAAATACAAAACCACCTCTTGCCTTTAATGTAGCCACTGCACATTGTGCTTAATTTTCTGCCATAGGGTTAGGGGTTTTTCTGCCATAAGAGAGTTCTTACTGGGCTGTTTGTAAAATCTGTGCTTAGTTAAGGACTGGGTATAACATGCATCTATTGTACAGACCGGGGAAAGAGTCGAGTCTGAAACATTGCAGGTGTTCCCTATTTTATAAGAGCATTAAAAACATAATTCTTCTCTGGGACCTCTCCAAGCTTCCTAACACTGTCAGCAGTAAAGAGAAGAAATCACAAGGCAGGTTGGCTTGTCCATCAGTTACTGGAGTTAGAGAAGAGTCACTTTACTGCCTTACAACTTGATGTAAGTCCATACACACAAGAAGGAACTGGGGGGAATCACATGGGGTGATTTTCCCTCCCAGATGGACATCCAGGTGTTTTCCTACGGCTCCCACTCCCAAAGGGTATGTCTGAGACACCATGTTCACATCCAGAAACAGGGACAGAAAACAAAAGACAGAAGATGAGCATCATTTGCAGGTTGATGATACTGCAAACAAGAAAGAATGAAAGCCCAAGTTTGTCTTCTCTGCTTCTCAGACTTCTTTTTGCACACTCTTGCCTATTTCTACCATCTAAAATAATTCTTTGGTACTTACACACCAATTCTACATATCCTGTGATACCAAGCTCTACTCTGGCTTTACATTCTCATCACAGGATCTCTCTTTGAGCTGTGAGTGCATCAAATTTCTGTTTGGAGAACTTGGTTCTCTGCTCTCAATAGCTTCAAGTGTATTATTTCATTGCATGCACAAGTAAAAATCCTTCAAGCATTTCCTCATAGTTCCTGTAAGACATTTAACACTGCTAATACAAGTTTGGGGGGTTACTTGTTTTAATTTAAAAAGGCTACTTCGAGAAACAGTGGCCAAGATAAAGAAAATTAAGCTCAGGATTCATTTCAGAGACACAGAGGTGAAAGAATCCGTCCAGAAAAGGTTCATTTCATCAGTATTTCTGTTTGCAGCTTCCAGCAGGGTAAGCACTTCCTCCAGCTGTATTTTAGGAAATTGTTGTGAACTCAATAGAGATAAGGATGGCAATGAGCAGTGTGCTGTGAGATCTCACAGGGCTTCCTGTCAGCAGAGACAAGGGATTACTGAGCTCAGAACTGGATTCCTGGTGTTCAGAGGTGTTACCATCCAGCTTTCCCAGGTTCCCACTGCTCCCCTGAGCTGCAGCCTGAGCTCAAGCTCTGTTGGGCTGTCCCTGGGCTGTGGCCTGGGCTTATGATTCCACCTTTAAAACTCCTCTTGACTTTTAAAGAGCATCACAATGTTCAAATATAGCACATTTCAACTCTTCTGGAAGAAGTAACTGAATAGGAAGGAGAATTTTCAGAACCACTTACCTGCTGCAGGACTTCCCCCTGTTCCCCCTGTCCCCAGAGCACCAAGCAGGGCTGATTCCCATCGTGGCAGGACTGTCCCTGCGGAGCCAAACAGTGCCATGCTGGAGCTGGGAATGATCCCAGCACCTGCAGCTCTGCCTCTGCCCCTCTGTTCTCCATTTATCTGCACGTGGAGGATCATCATGGAATGGAGCCTTGGCAAAGACTGACTCATTTCATTTACAACAGCACTCCAAGACATCGTAACATCTGGAAGTTGGGACCCACCAGACCCACAAGTTTTTGGACAACCCCCACAAAGAAAACCCTCCCATCTCCCAACACCATTCTGGTATTTGTCGTTTTATTTGCAAAGGAATCAAATTAAAATCATGGAGAAGCACATGGATGTGACACCAGGGAAGAGTCTGCCTGATTTATTCCAAAAGCAGGGAAGCTCTTCCTGGCTGCAGCTCCAATGCAAGGGAAGCAGAGCAGGCTGCAGCTTTTTGTTTAGGCAATTTGCAGTTTCCTTGTCTCATCTCTGCTATAAATCTAAATACAAGGGCAAAAAAAAAATAACCACAGACCAAATGTCAACCTTTTGGCCAACAGGATTAATTAAAATCTTTCTTAGGTGTCAAAAGGGAAAGGAAGGAGACATTTCTTTGCTCTCACAATGCACTGCAATCTGTTATAAGTCTACTAAGGACTACATTTAAGACACTATAAAGACAAAAGGGAGTATTTTAGGTCAGCCTTGAGTGTTTTTTTTCCTTTTCTCATCTTTCTAAACAAATCAAACATGCATTTCCAGAATAAAGATAATCAGTTCTGGTTAAACTTAAAGGATATCTACTCTTAACAGCAAAACAAAACAAGAGTTTGGAACTTATTAGTGAAATATGTGACTAGAGCCTTCCATCTGACAGCAAACGGTTTATTACCCATAATGTTACTTTTGAAGGAAGAGGTGATTTATGGAAGTGTGCCATGTCTCCACAGACCACTGGCAGAATGTAATACTGCAGGACTGGTGATACAGTCTGGTGATGGCAGTCTTTCCATAGTTTTTGTACTTATTTCATCTCCAAGCAGCAGTTTCAGCCCAGGTGAGCTGTTGGGAGGGAGCTCAGAGCAGCACCACAACCATTTCTGTGCTATTCAACCAAAAGAGCTTTTTGTCTTACCACAAAATTCTGAATTTAGTTTGAGGCAGTCAGTGCCTTGTGCAGCCCAGAGCATTACTGCACATTCAAAATGCTGCAGGAAAGCAGGGCAGCAGTTATTTGCTCTGTCCTAAGGATCAAGTACAGGCACTGAGCAAAACCAGCCTCCTGTTCTCACTGCCATGGCGAGACCAGGAGAGCTCAGCCTAGAACAGGAGTCAGTCCTCCCACAGCTTACCAAAACATCAGCTCTTTGCAGAAGGAATTCATTCTTTTCCTATTCACTAACAACTGGCTGACTGTACCAAAATGGCCTGCACAGGGGTAAGATGAAGAAGTTAGATTTGCCATGCAGTGCTCAGCTAAGAGATCGCCAAAGGTGTCGGGAGAAAGACTGAAAACCTGAAAACCACCCCTGTTTAAAGCCTAAGGTAAAGTCTGACATGTACTGCAGGCTTCCCTCTGGGATGGGTGTAGGACACACAGCCTGTGCTAAATGCAAGGCAAGCTCAGGACACAGCAGTGCTTGAGGTCAGGCTGGCTGCCCAGGGAGGCTGTGGCTGCCCCTGGATCCCTGGAAGTGTCCCAGGCCAGGTTGGACGGGGCTTGGACCAACCTGGGCCAGTGGAAGGTGTCCCTGCCCATGGCAGGGGGTGGCACTGGATGGGCTTTAAGGTCTCTTCCAAGCAGTCCATTTTGGGATTCCATGATTGTTATTGCTGCTGATCTGCTCTGCATTCCAGAGCCAGCCAGGGGGATGAGGGGGAGCATCATCCACTGGGCAAAGACAGCAAGTGAAATTTCTTCTTCCAAGGGACTGCAGTTTTCTTGGAAGAAGACTGTGTCCACTTATTCCCAAACTAGCCCAGTTCCCAGAGGCCACAGCTCTGAGAGCTCAGTGAGGTCCCGGCAGCACAGTGTGAGGGAAGGGCAGCTCCAGGATCACTGACTCCACAACTCCTGGGTTTGGCAGGGAATGTTGTCCCCAGAGGGCCTGTGGTGCTTGTAGGACACAACTGTACATTACAGGAAATTCCCAAGTGTCACTGCACAGACCACAAACAAGGTAATGGTGTTAAAAACCACCCCCAAACAGGTCAGACCTTCCGTGTGAGCGGGACGGGCATCACCACCTGGAGCTGAACGTTGCCAGTCCAAAGCTCTGACCACAACACCCAGTGGTTTTAGTGCCAAGGTCTATGCTGGGAGTTCACTGTCAGACTGTCAGTGAACAACACTGCAACTGTCAAATCAAACACATGAAAACACCAACTCCTCAGTTCACGTATAACTACATTTCACACATGGATGCCCAGCAAGAAATGCGTGTCCCTCCGTTAACTAGAAGTCATTGAGAACCCTCACTGCTTCTTTCTCAAGTCATTTGAGTCAAAACTAATGTCTTATTATGGAAGACAAGACCTACCAGGTCTTTCTTCAAGTCAGTTTTGGTGATAAGTTCTGAAACCCTCCTTCCTGTAGTAGGATTTTACTGTTACAGCTGCAATTAAAAAGCAAGAACCAAAAGCCCCGCGTTTTTCCCGTACACATTTACCTTGGACTAGCCTCTTAACGTGTAAAAACCAACCTTTTGGCAACACAGTCAAATAATACCCTAATTAAACTTTGTGAAAAAGATGAAGGTGTGGTGTGTTGTGCAGCTGTAACCTCACAATGAACACTGAAGTGCAGTCAGTGTGTCTGCTGCTCAACAACCACCAGTTCCACAGATGAGCTGAGAGCTCTCAGGCCCTGCTGCCAACACTGACTTCTCTCTGCAAAGATTTATAGAAGGCCTCTAAAACTACTGCAGCCTTATCAGAAGCTTAGTTCAGAGTTTAACACCTGTAGCAGTAACATACTTAGGAGTTACAAGATAGGTAATGACGTGTAACTTGGAATTAGAAAGTGACTTTAACCCTTTATGCTGACACCTTAAAAATTATTTGGATACTTGCAAGCTCACTTAAACCACTTCAAAGAACCTGTTGACAAACCTTGAGATTCAATGCAGTTTCAGTTACATTTTAAGTATGACAAATACATCTTCTTGTCTCTTCAAGAAACTGCCAGTCAAAGTTTTTGACAGCCAAGATCCATGTGAAGTGAAAAGAGAAGTCACTCAGCATTGTTCAACATCATTTTAATCTCCACCAAGGGAAAATTATAGAAACATGTTAACACAAACAGAAGATGTTCAGGGGAAAGACCATATGGTGCTATGACAGGTTTAGGTTATAGAAATGTAATTTATAATTTTATAAAAATCATATGAAAGAATAACAACATCTTTCAGTAACGTCAGACAGTATAGAAAAAATAAATCTCAACATTAGTCGTACTCTGATGGTCCTTCTAGTAAGAAATTTAAAAGTGCTTTTTAATCCCAGTGTAGCAACTTAAGCTTAGTGCAATATGTCAAATCTGGCTTAAAGCAGATATTTATAGCAATTGTGCAATTCTTACAACTGACAAACCCCATCTAAACATGAACACTAAGTGAGGTAAGTATTATAATTAGCATTAAACATTCCTTAAATAGCTTAGACAGCAACTCTACTACGAGCAAAATCTTGGTGTTCCTTCCCAGGAAAGCTCAAACATAGACACGACATGAAACTTGTAGTACAAATCAGTGAATATTCAGAAGTTATAAAAGCTCTTGCAAAATATGCAGTTTAGCACATTTACGACCCACTGCTACAATGCAAAATATACCAACTTAAACAAAGCCAAACTTTACAAGTAGTGCACTGAATTTGCTTGGAATACACTATTTTGTTCCCAAATCCTCCTAGAAGCTCCATATAAAGTTAGCACATTAACTTCATGTAGAAATGCCACTGTATTTTTAGATGAACAATAATAATGAACAATTTGCTTACCAACTACGACTGCAACTACAAGTACCATTACTCTCTGAGCAGGTGAAAAACACAGCACTAGTCGGGGAAAAAAATAATTTCAACGTACCCATCACTGTTTTATACATGCCAAGCTGGAAATAGTGGAGATAACCTGAATTTCTACATAGTTTTTGCTGCAAGGCTGCTCAGAACTCTACCATTAGCTTTGATTTGCCTGTAGTTTCTTTACTCTGTGAGTCACAATGCACAGGAACTATTCCCTTTCACATGCAGGGCTCATTTTAAGAGAGGCAAACACCAGACTGTTCATGTTGAGCCCTTATGGCTCATTTGCATATAGAGCCAAAGGTGTTTCCTATTCTATTTTTCAAGGTGCTTATAAGTAAGATTTAAGTCACTATCAACAACAGGAATAAACTATAAATTAATGGCCTTTCCTTCTTACAGGCTATGGTTTCAAAGCCCTCCAACTGCACTGGTTTTTACAGTATTGCACTTAACTTTAGTGTTAAACTGACACTGAAGTCTGCACAGAACATGTTTTACAACAACATTCCCATTAAAAAAGCAATAAATAAAATGCAGTATCTAAAAAAACCCAAGAAACAGTGGGTTTAGTCCATATTTCCCCCACACACAGACAAAGCCGCACCATCTGAAACAGGTCTGGGGCAGTCTTTGGATGCCAACTGCATAGTTCTTTCAACATAACAGCAATCAGAGAGGCAAGTAAAGCTTTCTACAGCAATGTCAGACACAAAGACAGTACCTCTGAGTGCAGGTCTGTTAGCTTAGAAGGACGTGTTGCCTTTCCCGGGACGGATGCAGGAGTTAGACCGAGCTGGCTCTGCCAGGTTATTGCACTAAAACTGGGAACTCATCACTGCAGGGACAAGTTGCCCAAGTCTTTTGCAGAGTCCCTGACCATCTGCTCCAGGCTGGGGTGTGCAGCCCCCCTGGCTGCCAGCTGGCCGTGGATGAGCCCCAGGCTGTGCAGGTTGAGGATGGAGTCGGCGATGATCCGCGCCGTCCTCTTCTGGTACCCGCCGGACGTCACCATGAGCACGGGGATCCTGCGGCGCCGCGCGGCCCTGAACACCACCTCGTCCCTCTTCACAATGCCCTGCAGAGCACCACGGCCACCAGGGGCACAGAAACTGCTATCAGCATGACTGACTGGCATAAATGTCCTTCCTGCTGATCTGCTCTGGTCTGGGGAAAAACCCCACCCCAACCTTTGAGCTGCAGGATTGTTTACAGCCATTTTGTGGGAACTGCACTCAAGCCCACCTGTGGGCTTCTCCTCATTTTCAGATAAAAAAAAATAAAAAGGGAATATCTGACTTCTTGGCACCTAAGTTTAACAGGATATTGTAATTGGAGATGACACTGAGCTTCGTACCAGCTTAGAAAGATTTCCTGCTTGTCTTGATTTACAAGAGCACAGTGACAGGGCAAGAGGAATGGTTTCAAACTGCAAGAGAGCAGGCTTAGATTAGATATTAGGAAGAAATTCTTTGCTGGGGGGCTGAGGCATTGGAACAGGTTGCCAGTGAAGTGGTAGCTGCCCTATCCCTGAAGGTGTCCAAGGCCAGGCTGGATGGGGCTCTGAGCCATCTGGTCCCATGGGAGATGTGGAGGGGGCTTGGAAGTACATGAGCTTTAAGGTGCCTTCCAATCCAGGAAATGCAGGCTGGAAGATCTCCAGCCCAGCCTCCTGCTTGAAGCAGGACAATCCCCAGCAGTGGCTGAGGGTAGTGGTGACTCCACATGGATGAGGCTTGGGAATGTCCAAGGATGGCCATTCCCTCAGCTCCCACTGAAAGCCCAACTGACAACACTCTTCAATCCCTGGGGTGATTTTTGGGGTGTCCTGTGCAGGGCCAGGAGTTGGACTTGATGATTCTTGTGGGTCCCTTCCAGGTCAGAGTATTCTGTGGTTCTGTGATATTTTAGTTCTAACCTGTGAGTTATGGATTTATAGTATTGGATATCTGGAAAGTGTTTAAGCCTTATATTTTACAGTAGCAATTAAAAGTTCATTTAAAAGTCCTGTTAGCTGGTTTACATGAATAATCATTAAAAAAAAAAAAACCAACAAAATACCCCAGCAAATCAAATATCCTTGACTTGTTTTAGAGGACACAACAGATAAAAGTCCTTAGTACAAATTCCTAGAAGAATTCCTGCTCAAAGGCCATAAAGTTCTAAACTGATTACAAATTTTAGAAATGTTCACCCTATTTTCCAGGTGAGGAATTGAGACTAAGAAAGATTGTCTGAATTCAAAGTGCTTTAGTTTGTGCTCAACTTGCACAGCACCCTCTGACTAAAGTTTAGCAACTCAATCAAGATTTCACAATCCTACAGAAGAACCCCAAATTCAAATCAGATTTTACACATTTACAATCACTGGATGAATTTTAAGTCCCAGTTTCTTTAATAAAAGCCTGTAGTTAATGCTAAAAGAAGCTATGGCTGAAGGGGGAGTTGCAGAATGTGAGTAAAGGTAAACCCATAAAAAAATAAAACAACAGAAAGAAGGAGATAAATTCTAAATAATTTCTTACTATGAGAAGGGTATGGAACTAAAAAATAACAAAGACTGCTGACCAAGAGGAATTGTACTGTCACTGAACCCAGACAACAGGAGAGTTTGAGCCTTCTGGGTTTCAAAACGTACATGTGGGGAAAAAATACTTCAGAAATGAGTGAGAACAGAACTAAAATCCACTTTTTGTAAAAGCACAGAGTTCAGGTACTTAAATAACTGCAAAGCTGGAGAAGGGGATCACGATGCAATCAAATACAAAAAAAATCAAGGAAGCAGCAGTAAAAGTGTTGTAAAATGAATATGCATTGCTCAGACTGGTTAAAGGAAGACTGTGAATACATCAAGAAATAATACCCTGCCAATAATTAGACCACAAAGAGATAATAAAAGGAAAAATTAAAATACAAATGTAGCAGGAAAAAATATCTTGTAAAAACACACAACAGTCCTGCTTATTGTGCAGTTTGACACAGCCCTATGAAAGCACAAGGAGTAACAACTGAACAGTGAGACAAAGGAAACTGAGGAATTCTATTAGAAACAGCTCCCTAAAGGAAGGAACAGAATTACAGGAGGAGCTGTGGGTCCCACCTCTGGCTGCAGCACTGTTATCCCACCCAAGAACTGGGAGCAGCCACTGTTCACAGGAGCCTCTGCTCCAGCAGCTCTCATGGCTGAGCCTGGAGGAGCTGAGGGGAAAACAGGCTTATTCCCATGTTTCTGGGTTATTAAGAAAGAAAACATATCAACTGGAAACAACAGCCCAGCACAGTTCCCACTCCCACCCAAAGGGAACAGGGACTTGGCTGCTACATCTCAGGTTTCCCTCCAGCCTCAAGTACCACGAAACCACCACCCAGAGCACTGAGGAGCCCAATCCTGAGCAGAACTGACACTGCCCCAAGAGCTGAAGGACACCTTCGGGTGTGGGACCAAAGACTGGACTAAGGAACCTCAAAGAGATGAACCATCCAGGCACAAGGCCTTCAGTTTGGCCTTTCCAGCAGCCTGGGATTCCAAACGTGGTGAAATGTGCCGCCTTCGCACGTACAACAAGCAGACCAGAGACACAGGAAACCCTGCCCTCAGTGCAGACTGCAAAGGTCTGAGCTACAGGAACCTCTGCTCCAGCAGGCTGTGCAGAGAAACAGCACCCTCTGCCTTTCAGCTCCCCTTGGAGCCAGGAAAGCTGCTCCACCTTCCCTTGCCCATCTTTATATTGTCTCTCTACACAGCACCCAGCAACCTACAGCAACTCCTTTTCCTTGGCCATTAACACTGCTCCTTCTCCAAGGCCAGAACTGTTGTTTTCTTGAGGCAAATCTCCAAGCAGTCCCCACCTACCCCCAAGCTGCCACGTCCCTTGGTGGCCACTGCTGCACCAACCACACCTCCCACTTCAGGCTGTGTCCTCTCCAAGGTCACATCAAGTCCAACCCCTCAGCTCTTCCTTTGTGCCAGAGAACTGAACAGCAGTTCAGAGTGAACAGATGGAGTGGTGGCTCCATCGGGGGGGAACCTGAGAGCTCACAAACCAAGCACTTCTCTGTATTGAACCGGTGGCCATTAAATGTGAAACAGGAGAGGGGCAGCACACAGGAGCTGTCAGAGAAGGAATCATTAAAAACCACGGAGGAAATACAAGATCTGGACATTTTTGTTTGTTTTGAGAAGAGCAGACTGGAAAGCAGACTGTTTGGGAAAAGCAGTGAAGGTGGAACGAGAAGGGACACAAACTGGGAGGTGAAGACTTCTATGATGTGTACAGAATAAATAAAAATTTAAATCTACTAAAAGTGGGCAGAGAAAGTACATGGTATCTGTAAGGAAAAGAATCAAGAGAAGGAAAATAGGTGTTCATTTGCTAGGAATACACAGGCAGGCTGCACAAAATTGTTACAGCTGGAAGACACCACAAGGGCAGTTTAAAACAGCTGGGAGTGCTACAGAGGAAATTAAGTGTAAGATACATACTGGGGGCAGGTGACAAAAGAAATACATTGCAAAATGGGTCATGTGAGGGGAAAAACAAACCAACCAAACTGGGAGAAGAGAAGTCAAGTGAAGTGTGAAAATGTCTGTCTCTCTGGTTACTATCTGGGTGTTCAAACCAGTGCATTTTAGAGAGGAGATGGATTACACTGCAACAGCCACTGGAAGGACAAAAATATTTAGAGGCAGGAAGAAAATCCAAGAAAATAAAAGGGTGAAAGAGCAAGAGTTGGATCTCTGGTGCCTGTAAGAGGGAAATGCTCTGGCTGAGTGCAAAGGGTGCACTTCCCTTCAGCTCCCAAACTGCCTGCAGTGTGTGTGGGGAGCAGGGCTGGGGGATAGCAGTGCCATACAAACCTGGGAGATGGCCAGGCTGCCAAGGGATCCCACCCAGGATGGCAGTGCCATACAAACCTGGGAGATGGCCAGGCTGCCAAGGGATCCCACCCAGGATGGCACTGCCATACAAACCTGGGAAACAGCCAGGCTGCCAAGGGATGCTCACCCAGGATGGCAGTGCCATACAAACCTGGGGGGAAATGGCCAGGCCTCCCAAGGGATCCCCATCCAGGATGTCAGTGCCAGCATTATAAACCAGGATGTCAGGTTTGAACTCGTTCAGTGCTCCCTCCACGTGGGTGTGCACCTTCTGAAGGTACTCTGTGTCCTCTGTGCCCCACTCCAGCTCCACTTTGCGTTTTATGGCACCTGAAAGCAAACAAACCAACCACTGCTCAGTAAGAAAAGGGTTGCTTTGAAAGAAAATGCAAGATGTAGGGAAGCAAGAAAAAAAAATCACATTTCAGGAAGTCTTCTCAATACATTGCATTTTCACAGAACTTTGAATTAAAGAAAATGACTCAACTACTTGTTTTCTCAGCAAATGTTAAGCACAATGACCTTGGAAAAAAAAAATGAAGAGAAAAAATTAAATGCAGGAAGAAAAAAATATCTCTGAGATGCAAGTGGAAAATGTTATTGAAAAGCAGCTGATCTACATGTCCAGTTACCAATCAGCAGAGAAATCATAAAGGAAATTATTAACTTAAAAGTAACCTAAATAAAGCATAAGGCAAAGAAAACACTGAACTGCTATTGCAGAGGAAACAGCTGGGGGGAAAAAACCAAGATAAATATCACTGAGAAATTATGAAGATGTTTTATTTTTATCATAACACTCAAAACTTCACAGCAAAGGATCATGAATTTATGGGAACTGCTTTATGAATGTATAACAGGATTCAGCTTTGCCCCAAGCATTTTCAATTTAATGTTCTTACCCTGTAATCCTACCAAAAGAGCAAATATCTATTCTTCATTTAAATCAAATTATTTCTAATGCCTTTAATAAAGCAACAGAAGTAGAAGAGGATGGCTGAGAAGGTGAAGGGGAGAAACCCAAGGTTAGGCGGCCTAGTTTTGGGTGCTGTTATGGAGGTTTGTGTAACTCTACATGTGAATTAATATCATATCCATGCCAGAGGTGTTCCAAGGAATGACTTCTGCCTCACCACACCCTCTGCCTCAAATTAACTGACTTGGATAAAGAGGGATTCAGCACCCACCAAGTGTGCATTCAACACAGAATGACAATTACTCTTGGGATTGCTGGGTAGGGGTTTTTCTCTGCTTTCCATCCTTGTTCAACATCAGGGAAGGATTGTTTCTCATTCCAGCAAGAGTTGCAAGGATTTTTGTTTCTTTACAGTATTTTCCTGGATGCTTCTCTTATTCTTATATAAATGTCCCTGGAAGTCTGCACAGCTCTTCTGAACAGCACTTGGAGCCTCTTCAGGGTAAAGGATCTGCTGGCTGAGCTGTGGAGGAGGGGACACTGCAGTGGGGACAAACAAGTATTGTTCTGATGGAACCATGAAGAAGTTGAGAGATGTTGAACAGGATCCCCTGCCTTCACAGGCCTCTTGCCTACATCTCCACACAAACACAGAAGTGCAGAGATCAGGGATGGGTCTGGATCAGGATGGACACAGCTCTTCCATGTGTTCATTGTCCATCTCCTGCTCATTAGTGAAGGCATTTGTCCAGCTTTGTAAAATGACTCTCAGACCATGAGATTTTTAAGGCCTGAACTTTGAGTTTCAGCTGTCAAATTCTGTGCTCACCCTTCAGTGAATTAGTCCCATTCCCCATCCATGTCCTCCTTTCTCCTCCTAAGCTTGTGTAATTCCAAACTGCTTCCCCTCAGGGATTCAATGTGCTTATGGCTTAGCAGCAGGCAGTGGGAGCTGGGCTCTTTCTTCCCTTCCCTAATGAAAAACGTGCAGAAGAGGCTCCTGCAATAAAACATGGAAAAAATGGGCAGAAAGTCCAAGGAGCCACTAATCAGTTGGAATTTACCCCAAGGATTCCAACTCTCAGGTTCAAGCCTCTACCTTTCTTCAGAGATCCCCTCTGTGATCCCATCTTTGCCTGGTCATTTAACAGGAAGGATTTAAAGGATTTAGCCAGCAAAATCCTATTCAGACATTCTTATGCAAACTGCAAGGACCTACATGTTCACATGCCTTTGGCACCTCACCCTTAGAAAGGGAATGCTGGTATTCTCAGGCTCACAGGGGAGGGGTGAGCTCAGTGGTTCAGATTTGCTAACAAGGACTCACTCTGTTTTGGTCTTAATCCATCTGTTCAAATGTTGCCATGTGATATAGGAATAAAGGGATGCTTTTCCTGGAGGGGAAAACCCCCGCATTTGCTTGCAATTTGTCTGCCTACAGACACGATGTGCTTTAAATGGTCATTTTTTAGTTTAATACCTTGAAATTCTACAGTTCTCAAAATCTTTACAAGTCAAAATCCAGCAGTGCAATGCACTGCCCCTCATTCTTGCCAAGAATCCAAATGAAGGCTTTTCAGAGCGACAGGATCACTGAAGAAATCCAAGAGCAGAACATCCCCCCCCAACAACCTCTGACTCAGGGAACAAATTAAGCCTGTAATAAATGAGTGTAACAGAACCAAAGATCAAATCAACTTTGGGCTTTTGCATTCCAATTTAAGCATTATCAAAGCCCCACTAATTAATCGTGGCAGCTCACAAGACACAACAGGCACGTCACAGCAGGGATAAACAAACCACAACCAAAACCAATCAAGCACCAGCTCCTGTCGTTGGTCTGACAGGCTGCCCGGGGCAGGGGGAGTCCCCATCCCTGCAGGGATTTCATGGGGATGTGGCCTTGGCAGGGCTGGGCTTGTACTCCATCTTATAAAGGGCTTTTCCAACCTTAATGGTCTTATTCCATGACTTGTTTTGCTTCCCAAGTTGTTTCACACTCAGATGCAGCTTGTTTTCTAGATGCTTACAAACCAAGTTCTACTGGCAAAACGACACACCTAAATATGTTATAATTTATAACTTTTCAAAAAAACATGAAACCTTTTTACACAGCATCAGCTAATCCTCAGGGAATTCCATCACAAAAGTAGTGTAAGGGAAAGATGAAGGTCTAACAATTCTCTTAAAATCACTGCTCCAAGTGTGGCAGGAGCATTGAATACCCACCCACATCCATCCCAGAAGTGAGGGGAAACACTACTGTGATATATCACAGTGATCACTGAAAACCATGTGATATTAAAAAAAAATAAAATCTAGTTAACACTGTTGCAAGGAAACCTATTAGTAAATGAAGTTAGGTAGCAGCACAGGAGGTCTTTTAGATTTTGGAATGTGAATTTCAGCTGTACTTACGTTTAGCAAAGCCATCCCCTGGATAAATGTATCTGTTGTAGGCATCCATAATATACACCCGAGGATCATCCATAAAGTCCCTCTCATGGCCATTTCCCTGCAGGAAATTCACAGTTAGCTATTCCCAACACAGCATTGAACACACTGCAAACCCTACAGCAATCAACACTACAAAGGTCTAATATCCACAGCTCCCTGTGTCACTCTCTTATTTATAGTCTTGAAGGTTATTCTGAGGAGAGGGGTTGATAATACCTGAAAACTGCAGGTATTACCACAAACAAAATCCCTGTATCTCTGGGAAGGGAATTAGCAGAGAGCTCATTACACATGTAAGAAAAAAGAAGTGAAAAATAGAAGCTAAATGTCCTCAGCAGCACCACAAAAGCAACTGTGACCACCAAAGAGATCTGTCGCTCTCCAACTGTGCAAGAAAAAGTCCCTTTCAACTGCTCCAGGGAACTGAGTGTTCCTGTGTAAGAATTAATAAATAAATAAAGCAGACCACAGCTCTCCTGGCAATTCAAGCCTTGGGGAGATAAGTAATCCCTGGAAAAATGACAAACACTAAGGACCCAACAGTTTAACAATTTCTTGTTTAACAACAGAAATTCCCTACAAAAACTGTGCTGGGTGTAAAATGGATGCTCAAGAGAAAACTCAGATTTTGAGTATTTCCCCCTCCCCCATTTCTGAATTTAAATATTCTTCTTCTGGCTCTCATTTAGACTTTTTTCACTAATATAAAAATCATTTTTTCCCAGCAATGACTAAAATAATTCAGTTTAAATCAGTGTATCATACAGCAGCACAGCCCCTACCCCCAGAAGAATTTCATTTGAACTACAGAAACAGACATTTCCACAGATACATCTTCTGTAATTCAGCTTTTATGCTAAAAAATGGCAACTCCAACTTATTTCTTCAGCATCTTTGGTCCACAAATAACCAGTTCATGCACACAAGCCTGGGAATGTGAAAGCCTCTGATGAACCATTTTCTTATGAAAGGTGGAACTCGCCACTGCACTCGGAATTGGAGCAGTCACAAGACAAGAAAATCTGCATTTTTAAACAGGATCTGCTGAGCTCCTTCACACACCTCCCATTGCCAAAGGAAGGAAACAGGGGGTGATTCCACGTGCACTCCCAGCACAGCTGAAAACCAAAATGCATGCCAAGAACTTTTCAAAACCGAAAGCACCCCCAAAAAGCACAAAATAGATCCACACCCCGAGAGAGAGGAACACAAAATAATCCTCATCCTGGTATCATGGGAATTTTAGGATGCAGGTAAGGCAAATGAGAAAAGACCACTGCAGCCACTAGGTTTCCTCACTGCCACAGAGTTATTTAAAAATGGTTTCTTTACACATAATAAATAACCTGAAACGCATCAGATTGGACACCACTTTGGTGCATTAACTGCTTTCCTAAAAATACCATTTCTGACCTCTCAGGCTTCATTTTGCAAATCCTACCAGAGCTGAGTTTTGAACTCGGTGCCCACAGTACATCACACACCAGGGGGAGAGGGCTGAATCCTCTCCCTCATGAGCCTGTAGCCAGGCCTTCATTAAACACTGAGGGCAGGTTCCTCCCCTGCAGAGGCTGCTGCAGCCACCACGGTGCTGAACCAACTGGAATTCTGTCCCAGGAGATCCTTGCTCCTCATCCCGGGAGACGCGTGTGAAACGCTGCAGGATTTTTCCATCCAGCCACATGATGGAGCTGCAACTCAGGTTAATTTTACCAAACTGGCTTAAGAGCCTTTAGGGCCACAAAATAAACAACTGAACTGTTCACAGTTTCCAACATTTCTGATGAACTTTGTGTTCTGCCAGTCGACAGTTTATAGTAGCATTAAAAAAGGGGGTTCATCACCCACTTGTATTTCAAGCACAACATCTGCAGCACTGAACACAGGCAAGCACTCACCTGATGAGCATCCAGATCAATAATTGTGGCTTTAGACACCCCTGGTACTCTCTCAAATAAGAACTAGAGCAAAGAAAGACATAGAGAAATTTAGGAAATTAGGTGGCAGATTAAACTGGAGGCTTGAAGTTTCCACAGTCTATTTGCTTTAGTCACCAAGTAAACTGCTAAATTATTCTAATACATGTAATTACAAAAGCTCCTCTCATTATTTGACACAGGAAGATAATTTTTGTGGTTATACAATAACAAACCCTCTGCATTTCCACCAGATTAAACACATTCAACACGCATTTGAGTTGTAGACTCGCAGGATGGTTTAGGCTGGAAGGGACCTTAAAAATCATCTTGTTCCATCCCATCTTTGATACAGACATGGTAAACTCCAAAGATTTTATACAAATTCTCACCCACTATAATTTCTCAATCTGTACTTTAATGGTAGGGAGAAAAAACCAACCCACTGTGGATTACTTTTCTGCAAATTACCATGTACAGAAATTAGGGTGTTATGTCACATGGTGTGCTGCAATCATTAGAGCTCTTTAATGTTTGATTATTATTGATACTTTATAAATATTCTATTATACAAATAAACCCCAGTTCATTTGGTAGAAATAAGCCCTAATTGCAGAAGGCTCTTACTTTAGCCTTTCAACAGCTAAATGTATTCATTCACATTCAGAGACTATTTTGGAGTCATTCACATTTTTATTCCTGAGTTCTGCATAGTGCAGCTTGACTCAGAGAGAGGATTTCTGTCCCTGCAGGCTTGATTGGAACCACTGCAATGACTGTGGGAGGTTCAGGTTCAGCTGCAAGGCTTGGAGGATTATCACTGAGGATATTAAAAGTCCATCTGGTTTGATCTGGAGTGGGTTCTGCAAGCCAACATTATTAATGCAATTTCAGTGGTTCATGTTTACACTGATAATTCTGACCCCTGCAAATCTTCCCTCCCACTTCACAACACTGCACCTTCCCATTCCCACCCACCTGGAGAGGGCTTCCTTTGCTCCTGTTAAGGTGTAAATTCATTCTTAGGAATTTATGTGGGGATTTTTCTCCATTTACACAAACAGCAGAAAATACAGGTTTAAGAGCAGTTCTTACCTTGATGGCCAGTGTGATGTCAGCATATGCACAAAACCCTCCACCTTTGTCACTGGAACAGTGATGGAAACCACCCCCTGCACGGGAAAACGGGGAAGGGCTGAAAAGCCAGGTACTAAAGACAAGCCACACACTAAAGAAAAGCCAGACACTAAAACCAGAGATGGCCTTCACAAAGCCACAGATCACTTACATGGCGGGCACAAGCAGCAGGTGGAAAGGACCTGGAATGTTCTTTTCTATGATGAACATCCAGAAAAATATACTAAAAACCCCCCCAAAGTAAGAACTATGGTGTTATCATTATTTGCACATGCCATTCTCTTCTGAAAACACTCAGATCAAAAAGCTTTAGGAACTGCTCTTGAAAACAGAAAGGGACACACTCTTTACATGAAAAAAGTACTGAGACCTCTCCCTCCCTGAACATGTTTTTTATTTAATAAATCAGAACTTTTTAACTGAAAACCCCACTAGAAATAGCTAAGCAAGAAACTTAACAAGTTCATTTGATATATCAGTAAATACGACAGGCCTTGGTTGTTTGCTTCTAATATCTATTTAATTTTTAATCATGGCTATTCACTTTGGAGAAGATGCATGCAAGAAATAATGGAAAAACCTACACTCGGTGAGTTTTATGAGAACAACAAGCTAAGGCTCCTATGACACAAAATCCTGCTTCAATGGTTCACTGGGTTTGCACTGCTCTTTGCTGTGAGCAGGAGAGCACATTTATATTCACTATATCCTTCAGAACTTGTTCATTCAAGGCTTTTTCAGGAAAAACTGCACAGCCAAAAATAGACACTGACTGGTCCAGCTCTGCTCTCCCACATACCAACCCCTGAGATGCTAGAACATAGATAAGATGATAAGAACTATGAAAATTATTTTATAATCTAAAGATTTTATTGAAATATCTACATTTAGTCCAAACATTTTTCCTCAATTTTTTTTCACACTACTTCAATCCAAACACCTGCCCTTATAAATGATTCATATCTTTATCCAGTTATCTTTTTCCTTTCCAAGAAGATTTTATAATAAAACTGCAACAGTGGGTGAGAGAACAAATCCAGTACTTTCTCCATTTTCTTCCTTTAGAGTTGATTTTAGTTAAACACCATAATCCCTTTCTGTTTTTATGAACAGAACACACATCATGGAAATGAAAATCCGGCTTCCAAACACACAATTCCAAGCACCACTGGGTGCCCTGTTTGCACTCACCCACGTTGATGGCCCAGCCTCTGTCCACAGCCAGTTTTCCTGCCTTAAAAAACAATTACAGTCAGAATTACATGAATGAATGAGGCAACTTCCACCCCCAGTAACTCTTGGCATGGAATTTGCAGATGCTTTACCACTGGAGGTCATTCTGAACCAGATCTGTGAACACAAAACTCCCCTCAGCTCCAGGAGCTGAAAGAATATTTGCTGTGTCATCTGTATTTCCTTCTCTGGCAACTGCAAAAGGGAAAGGGCAGTGCTGGGAAGAGTGAAAAGTGAGCAAGGATATCACAGTATCCTTCCTGCTCATGGGAAACCAGGAGGAATGTAAACTCAGACTCCTGAAAACACAGACTAGCAGAATTCCAGCTGGGAGGGGGCCAGGAAAGTGCTACAGTGTGAAGGGTCCTGTGACTTTTTATTCTTTAAGTCATGTGTGGTATAGAATGTTATCCACCTTTTCCCCTCCAATATGGGAAAACTGTGCCTGTATCTCTCCGTTGAACTCAAATGACATTCAGGAAAGGGAAAGTACTGACAAAAAAAGAGATACACAAGGCTCAAATGATGAAATTTTAACTGAAAAACTTGACTTATTTCAGCCAGGAAGAATCAAACAAGTGTTTAAGTGCAGTATTCCTCATCTGACATGATCAAAAATGAAGATATTACTAGCTACAATTAAAAAATAAAATAAATAAATAAATAAAAAAGAGAGAGAAAACATGTAAAAATAGATGAATTCTCATCCATAGTCATGGAAAGAACGTATTAGACATCACATACAAAATGAATTTTGGACAGTCAGTTGAGAAGTCTTCATCACCAATACTTACATTTGAACAGTTCTAATTTAGTACTAAGGAAATTATTGGGAAAGTAAACCTCATCCTGATCTGATCATGCCAACTTACACAAATTAGATCTTGGGGAAAGACTGCAGCTTCTGAACTATAAAACCCATTAAGTCCCAGGGAAAGCACATTATCAGCAATTTATCACACTTCCTAGGGATTCCTCACCAAAAACCAATCTTCCCATAGTGCTAAAATATCATTAAAAAGTAGAGAAACTCAACAGGAATGTTTGTGATAAAGAGGCCCATCAGGAATAGCAGAAGATGCACTTCTGACTTGCACTGTACAAATTTTATTGTCTGATTAATCAAAATTGCTTCTCAAGTACATACTTATTTCCCCATAACGGAGGCAAAAAAGGTAAAAACAACAGCATATGGCATCGAGATGAATCCCAAAGTGCCCAGGGATGGCATCTGTGTTTCAGGAGGCACAGACACAGCAGACAGCTGTAATAAGAGAAGTCTCTGCACGTCCTTGCTCAGCAGGACTTGCTCTGTGAGTGACAACCAAATATTTTTAAGCACTTTGAACTATATAATGACATGGAACCAAAATTCTTTTTCTCTAGTCCTCCCCATCTCTGCTTTTGCCAGTTCACACCTACTAAAGAGGCAGCACTTTTGTTATCTGGCCTATCACTATAATCCAATCAATCTCAGGATTTATCCAGAACCCAGCATGTTCTTTCAAACTTCATATTCTTAAATTTTCCTTAAAAAAAATTGGTTTAACATTTTCAGTACTTCATGTGATTCTCTCATGCTCAGACAGGCTTTCAGGCTTCACCAAAAGCACCAGGCATCCTACACTGTACAAACACCTTCACAGATTTCCTTACCCCACTATGGGACTTTAAATAACATCCAAGAGGACAGAGCAACACAAGAGAATTAAAACAGAATTAGGAGCTCCAGATTTTTACATATCTAAGACCAGTGTTTTGGACATTACAAAGGGAGTTAAGTTGACATGCTTAAAGCCATTAAACAGCACTGTCAGAAGATGCTTCTGAATCTTGTCAGTAGATATTTAGGCTTAGTCACAAGTCATGCAGTTCATTTCTGAACCAACAACTGGCAGAGTCACACACTTGCAAATCCAGCAGCTGGATGGGACACAGATTTAACCACAGAGCACTAAAACACTGAAAGAAATTGCCATTTTTTTTTTCAAATAAAGAATCAGGCACTTCTGTCATTAAAAACATACCTACAACAACAACAAAAAAATCAGGATATTTCATCTTACCTTAAAAACAACTGACTCTATACTTTCATTGCACACAGTAAAACCCAAGAGGGTTGAAACTTCATAGTGCCCAGACATAAGTGACAGTAGAATCATAGAATAGAATCACAGAATCAGCTGGGTTGGAAGGGACCTCCGAGATCATCCAGTCCAACCCTTGATCCAACCCCGCTGTGGTTCCCAGCCCATGGCACTGATGCCACATCCAGTCTGTCCTTAAACACCTCCAGGGATGGAGAATCCACCCCCTCCCTGGGCAGCCCATTCCAATGGCTGAGCACCCTCTCTGCAAAGAAATTCCTTCTAATCTCCAACCTAACCCTCCCCTGGCACAACTTGAGACCCAGCCCTCTTGTCTTGCTGATGGTTGCCTGGGAAAAGAGACCAACCCCCCCCTGGCTCCCCCCTCCTGTCAGGGAGTTGCAGAGAGTGAGGAGGTCTCCCCTGAGCCTCCTCTTCTCCAGGCTGAGCCCCCCCAGCTCCCTCAGCCTCTCCTCCCAGCACTTGTGCTCCAGTCCCTTCCCCAGCCTCGTTGCTCTCCTCTGGACCTGCTCCAGCCCCTCAAGCTGCAACAGCCAAGCCCATGTCAGCCCCAGGAAAACCTTGGAACTGCTTCCCCAGGCCTTTGGGCTCACTCTCATCACACTTCTAGGTCAGACCTAGGGCAGGCCCAACCTCTGTCCTTGTTTCTGAACACTGTCCTGCACTGCATTTTTTTGCCACATAATTTTATATTATGTCTTAAATTATTTATGTCTTAAAGCTTGATACGTTCACGAGAAGCATTTAAAAATGATTCCAAGGAACCCCTGATTCCAGTGCAGATTGCTAAGTACCTGCAGTTCTGACACAAGGGGAAGCCACCTATTAGCCTATTCCTGAAAGTAATGCCATGTTTTATCAGTCCCTTCTGGCTTCCCAGCCTCACTCACCTTTGCCCTCAGTAGCTGCAATAAATCCTATTCCCAAATCTGGCACAGAACACTGTGAAAGCTCTGCCAACCCACAGGACATTGGTCAATGACAGGCTTCAAACAAACAGGGAAAAGCCAATATGGGCTGCAACCCTTTTCACACGGACCACTGCCACAGCTCCCTGCAGGAAGAGTTGCTAAACTGCAGCAAAGATCTATGTGTACCATAATATTAATCATTTCAGACAAGATTATTTGTCTTCCATTAGAACTGGTTCAGCTCTGGACCTGCCAAGAGAGCTCGGGACGGGTCCCATCTCCTCCCAGCAGCAAGCTGGAGAGTTGGTCAACTCTAGTAAGACAAGGATTGATAAACACAGGGCAGAAAAGATCTCACTAGTTCCCAGTTCACAATCGTGAGGGCACGTTTTCCTCAACAGATGGTCTAAACAACTCATTCTTGGCTCCAGCTATTAACGGTTTTCTTTCCTGCTATTTCCTCAACATCTCTAATGGCAATTCCAGGCAAAATTAAATGTCTGGTGACCCTGCACAGCTCTTCTGAGCAGAGCACTCCTTAACTCAGGACAACACAGTTCTGCTCAGGTGAAAGTCTCACTTGAGCTCAGTTGAGCTGCTTCTGCAGTATCTACCACAGAAAAAGTAGATAAACTGTCTTTCCTCGTTAAAATGAGCAAGGGGATATGATTTTTCAATTTAGGCACTTCCCTAGACTCAAGAACAACTAAACCATCCATCACTTCCCATCCAGTTCCAAGGTCCTTTGGTAAATATGTGCTTTAAAAATGCTTCTGTATTACCAATTTTGAAACCTCCCATTCCTAGAATTTGCCTGTACTTGAATGTTATTTGTTACTGTATTTGCCACTTCTCTCACTGCTTGCCCAGGCTGACCCTCACTGTCTCTTCTGCAAATCACTGACCATAAAACCAGGGATGTCCTTCCCCTGGGGAGTTTGCTCACATTTAGGACTCTGCACTAACCCACCTCCCTCTCCAGGCCCCAAGTCTTTGAGTTATATAAAACAGTACAACTATTATTTGATATTAATATTACAACTATTATTTGAATTCTATGAAACAGTACAACTCCCAGGTTTACAATGTCTGATCAACAAGTTTAAAAGTGACAAAAGGGAACCAAGAGCACCTTACCATTATTGTTCCTCCCGTCTGGGTTCGTAGAGGCCTCAGAACTTTTCTCTGAACAACAAAATTGGGAAGAAAGGCAACAGGTGGGATTTCTGTGATGGTAGCCACAACAAAGGACCACTACAAGAGGGGAAAAGAGAGTTCCCATTAATGCAGTCTGTTCTAATGATGACATTTAGATCTCCCATTAGTTGCTATTTCCTGCAAAGGAGCTCACAGGTCCTTAATAAGATTTTTAGATGGAGGTGACCCCACCACCCTTATCAGTGACCTCCAAATAGGCTCAGCCTCAAGTTGTTAACTATGAGAATCACCACTTTCCAGTTTTTAGTACCAAACAGTCATAAATCAGCAATTTTTCAGCAAGCTAGTATTTCAGAAAATGTAATATCCCTGGGATTGGGAGGAAGAATTGTAGAATGTCCTTCAGCTACACTTGATATATTGTTCAAACCTAAAATTTCTATTCCTGTGTGAAATCAAAAGGATATACCAAGGAGAAAGGAAACACAAACAAACAGACAACTGAGCTAAGAAGTTCAAACACTTAAGTGAACACACAGTGCAAACTTAAGCACGGAGAACTGATTAAAACTTATTTAGCATATTAAACACTTCTGGAAAATGTTTCAAGAAACAGTTTTGTTCCAAAGTCTTCAAGGTTAGAACACAAAATATTTGCAATATGTAAATGCCTTTTTTGCAAACACATAGATTACTTCAAAGAACTTCCACTCACACTGCTACCACTGATAACACTGCTAAATATATTTCAAAGCATAAGTCACAAGCAAGGATACACCTGTTCATCCAATACTGAAACATTTAGGGACAAGGACTGGAACTTCCCACCCTGTACAGACTCTGGATAGATCCATTTTAGGACTCATAACTGGATTTAGTGTGTTTGTTGCCCCATTACTGTGAGCCGGTCACAGCAGGATGACGATTGGAACCAAAGCCAATCTCAGGGTCCTCTGATACTCAAAATAACTTCCCAGTTATCAATATTTCAACTACAAAATACCAATGGCTGGCATCATTAATAAAGGTCTACCAAGTACTAATTAAATTTTGCCAACAGTTCATTTTAAGCTTTTATTACTTTTACATTTTCAAGACATTATTCTGTTGACATACTACCAGCTCATTACTCTGTTACCCAGCCATCATAAAGTGCTTTAATTACTTTTTAATACAGTCAATCTTGATGAAGTCCCTTTGCAAGATATTTTAGCTTTCAAACAAGCACATATTCAATTCTGTTGTTCTAAAATGGGACTGAAAAGGTCACATCTGGATAAAAAGTAAATTTGACCTCAAAAGAGAACGATGATCGCAGAGGAAGTTTTACCAAAGTTTAAAAAAATTAATGTCAACAGGGAGAAGTGGGAGCAATAATGACTTAAATCAACAATTCTGCTGCTGCAGCTTTTTAAGTGATGGTAAGAAATCCACAAGTGGCAGAGGAGGGAGCAGACAAACCTTGCTGGGAACGTTCCCAAAGACACTCACTGCTCCAGACTTAGGCCTGTGGTTGTTTAGTAATTCCCAACATATGGGGGAGAGTCACTGACTCTGAGGAAAGTGTTGGGGTTCAAGAATGAAAATGCTTCTCCAAAAGCTCCCCTTAAAAACTGAGAAATGTATTGCCTCAAACTGTGCAATGCTTTGTGCCTTTTTCTTCAGTGTGCTACTGTTGTTTTCCAACATTTCTCACAATAAATTCCCAGAACGGCCATGTACAGACTCAAAAAAGGAATCAACAGGAATTGGGTTCATGTAATTGTGCACTTTTTCATGCTGTAAAAATAAAAAATTAGGAGAGCTGAGGAATACATTAATTACATTTTCCAGGCTGTCAGTGGCTTCCATAACACCAGCCTTCATACATCAGTTCCCTTTTTTTTTTAATCAGTATTTTTCATGTTAATGTATCATGATTGCATATATCAGAATAATATCAGTTACTATTTTTTCTGGGAGACATTTCCTCTCACTCAGCCATCAAGTTACTTCCCTGGAAGTGCCCAAAGCCAGGTTGGATGGGGCTTGGAGCAACCTGGCCTATGGAAGGTGTCCCTGCCCATGGCAGGGGGTGGAACTGGATGGGCTTTGAGGTCCCTTCCAGCCCAAACTATGCTGGGATTCTAAAAAATTACTGATTTTCCAGTATGTAGTGGTTTGAACCTTGTTTTCCCCAGAGGCTAAGAGAAGTGGTAGACCCCAAGGGGTGGAAACCCCTGGAAGTTTTGAAGTTCTGCCCAATGGGCGCTCCTGCAGAAATGTAAACATATCACAACCAGACCGGAAAAGGAGAGTTGTAGTTTGGTTGTTGTAGGAGAGGTGGCCATGTTGTAGAGCCACGAGGAAGGGGCTCTGAGCCCCTTGGGCCCTCTGGCCCCCTCTCAGCCCCTGGCTGGGGGCTGCAGGGACCTGGAACAGCATAAAGCTGGGCTAGGTGCCTGTAGTTATGCCGGGAGATGTTTTCTCCATGGGCACAGAGCAGCAGCCGACGCTGACCAGAGAAACGGTGGCAGAGAGCCAGAGATAAGGACCTGAACTGGAGGAGCAGCAGAAGCAACATGCAGCACTGCAGAGGAGACTCCTGGAAGGAGAGTTGAAGAAAGGAGAGCCAGCAGCTGAGAGCTACAGAGTTCTTGGGGGTAAGACTGATACCAGATCCCCAAAACTCCTTTGAGATCCCTCTGAGAAAAGAAGATGACTGGACTCCCGGAGAGAGAGGAGCTGAGAAGACATGCAGAGTCCTGGAGCTGGGCCGGGACGGCCAGATGGAATGCGGGGGGTTGACCTTGGCTTCTCCCCCCTCGCACTGCTGCCACGGTGGCAGCCTGAGAGACAGGGCACAGAGGCCCTGCAAGAGATACCAGACCGTCACGAAGACCCCCCTGTGTCTTCGTGATATGACGTGGTGATACGACCTTGTCTGGGGTTACGAAGACCACGGAAGACCCCTCGGTTGTGAGGCGATGGGGCCGGGGGAGCTTGAATACCTCCCTCGTGGAGTGCTGGCAGAAAGCCAGCTATCAGCTGCTGCATGAGATGAGAAGAAACCTGCTGCCTCAGAAGATGCTGCTGTTCAGAGACTGGAAGGGATCTGTCCTTCTTTCCCTCCTGGACTTTTATTTGGAGGGGAGAAGAGGTCTGATCCATTGTAAATACATATGTCATGGTAGAGATAGTTTGTGATCATGTGTATAATGTGATATGGTATTTATTTGTACAGTCATTGTAATATATTCCCTTTCCCCCACTTTGGAGTCTGGTGTGTTTTGTCTGGAAAAACCCATCTCACATTAGGTTGAGATGTGGGAGGGGGAATGGAGCTAGGGAATTGGATTTTGGGACTATCTCAAACCATGACACAGTAAAGTGTTGTAGACATGTAATTATGTGACTTAGAAATTAAAACTTGGTCTGGATTCAGGGAAGAATAATAATCATATATAAAAACTATTCAATACCATGTCTTCACTTATTCTTTGTAGTTATCAGCTCAGTTTAACTCTTCCTATATTTTTATTGCTAATAATGTAAGATTTTTTAAAATTACTTACCTTTCTGTATTTTGAATAAATAATTTGATGGATGAATTTAGTTTCCATTTTTAAAAAATTAACTCCTTGTTTTCTTAAAAGGAGCAAAGAAGTCAGGTTAACCCTTAGCCAGGTGTATTTTCCATTAATAAATGCCTCCTACCATATTAACTACTGGGCAGTAGCAATAACTGTGGCTAAGTGTAACCCTACACCAAGATGTTACCTCCAAAAAAAAAAAAAACCAACCCCAAAACCAAAATGAAACCAAAAAATCCCAGAACAACCACAACTTAACAGTTCTTAATTTCCCTTGCTTAAGCCCAAACTCTGTAATAACACATACATTCAATGAGGATATTCTTGTAAGACTTCACTTGTAAAATATTGTTACTATTATCTTTAATTCCTTAACTATAAAACTCTTCACAGTAAGGTTAAATGTCTTCAAATGATTAGTCTTCAAGGACTCAAAGTTAAACTGAAAAACTAATATGAAGAAGATGTAAAGCTAAAACAGTTGCTTTTATGCTGAGATCTCCTGGATTAATACAAACAGATCATCAGTGATCAAACCCACCCTCTGATGTACTGCCTTTTATGTTATGCATTCATTGCATTCCAGCATTTTAAAATAGCCAACAACATGTCAAATTAAGAAAAAAAAACTATGCAATTTTGTTCTTTAATATCTAAATTTAAACTGTGTTTAAATCTTTGATAAGTTCCTGGAACTAGTCCCAGCTCCAAGGGAAAATTCACGGAGTTACAAATCCAACACCAAGCAGCAAACGTGATTTATATTTAGAAGCTTCCCTGGGACAAAGTTATCTGGATCCATCTTCAGTAGTGAGAGAAAGTTATGTTTTTAGCTTGAATTAACACAAGACAAAATCATAAGGGGCAGTAGGAAGGTTGCAGTTCTCCCAGAGGTTTCCAGTCAAGGTTATCACCTGGAACAAGGTTCTGCACTGGTACAAGTGATGACACAGGGGATGCACCCAAGGAGAACAACCAGCCACTCTGGTCCCAAACAATGAGCTGGAAACATTAAAAGGAAGAAACCAAATGCTGCCTTGTCCTTCAGAGCTTTGGCAGCTGCTTTAGCTGCACAGGATGTCCCTCAGCACTTGCACAGGGGTGTGACACTAAACCTGTCACACCTTGTTCCCTGGGACTGGAACTCTTGTTTGGTATTCTCTCCAAACATATTCAAATATTATCTTTAAAATAACATGTTTTTATATTCCTACAGACCCTTACCTGACACATTTTTACATGAAAACTTAGGTAAAAGGAATCAAATTAATTTATCTCCTTTCATGACCTTTTAAATTAACATTTTACAGCAAAACAGCACTTCATTAATGGGTCACCAAGACACATTCTGTGCTGGTTTATCTGAACAACTCAACCAGCCACAAGTACCACTGATTAATTCATGATCCTGCTCCTGCCTGAGAGCCCTCCCACCTCCAGGCACCTGCCAACCCCCCCCACAGGTACCTCTGGGCTCCTGGCAGAGGAACTCACCTGGCGGGGCAGGAGCCAAGGCACACGAGCACCTGAGCACCATCAGCCCGCTCTTCACCAGCCTTACACAGGGGCATTTCTAAGAACATGATTAACTTCTGATTTTTAAACCTACACAATTTGCAAATCTATAAACCAGATTAAGTTATAAATTTATAACTGACTAATCAGCTGATTCAGCTTTCAGAAAAGCCCATCTTGCACTGCACTCACACGCTTCACCCTCAGCATTCACATTTCAGTGTTCACTCACAAGTTATCACAGAACTTCTCCTACAGAAAAATGGCCCAAGTGAGACTTTTACAGTCTGAAACTGGCTTCAAGCTCATTGCCTACCATCTTCCAAAATTCCAGAATGCTGACATGCAGGAAATCCATTATTTCACCCAACAGTGGAAAAAGGCAGTAAGCGGAAAAGTACTGCAAGCAAATATGCACAGTCCAGTCATTACCTTAGAGACCTACCTTCCTCAGAGGCATAACTGAGGGGGAATCACCTCAGTTCAACAGGCCAAACTAAGGCCTTCTGAACTGAGGTGATTCCCCCTCAGTCCTTAGTTGTAAGGACTAAGCAGGGAAACAGGGAGAACCTTCCTGCCAGCACAGAACTAATTCCCAGTGGCAGATCTACTTGTGCCCATCATTTTGCTTCTCTTCACCAAAGACTCATCTGCTTCAACCACCACCTCTTCTTGCAAGTGTAGGGTAATTCCTGCCAAACTCATGCTCAAATTGAAATGAATGCTCCAGTGGTCCATTATTTTAGGAGACCTGGGCATTCCAAGAAAGACAAGCACTTCCACAGTCTTCAGGGGTGATCGAATATGAAACGATACCATTTATAGGTATTTGTCTGGATTTAAAAATAAGTAGCACAGTAGACTTTGGAAAAGGCAATACAAAGGATACCCAGGGATTTTTCATGTCTAACCATGTTATTTTTCTTTTGCAACTAAGCACTTTTTATCTTCACTGCTTGGCAGGAATTTGCTGGCATGACCAATGTCTTCAAACAATGTCTTCCAATTTCTACAGCTGCAGGAAATATTCCCTCAGGAAAAGGGCAATGACTGATATCCAGTTAATCCCATCTGGAAGCACACAACAGTGCTGGTTTTGACCACCAAGGCATGAGTTATGCAGACAATTCATGTGAAGCCATCCTGTAGGCACTAAAGATATTATTATGGCATTGCAAACTGAGCCGTGCACATTACACCCCTCTTCAAAGGAGTGATTCAGTAACAAGAGGTGGGTGGTTCTATGGAATTAAAAGTTCAGTATCAAGAATAGCTGCAATAAGATCAAACCTAATGATGTATGAAATTGCATGGAACTTCATAGCACAGAATGAAGAGGCAGAAGAGAACTCAGAAAGAGTAAGAGTGGAAAAAAGTTCACACAAGTAACAGATCACTGAGAAAAATAAAACATTCCAGAAATAGCAATCCAAGGACTCTTCCACTGTGGAAGAGCATAGGTGACTCAAAATAATTTCTTCTGAATAATGAAATGGAAGATTTCTTTTCTCATACAAATCCCTTCTGCACCCTCCAAGTAGAATTTCAAAATGAAGGCAATGTCACCTTGCACTCACGTACTGTCCAATTCCACCTACAGATGACTGGAAGTTTGCAGAAGCAGAGATTTCACATGCTTATGTTTTAGAGTTCACTGAAGTCTAACTAATGGATGTTTCATATAGAAATATCCAAGGAATATTCTTTATCTCCTGTGGATATGCAATCCCATATGAGCTGGTACTGGAAACCTTCACACACGGATTCTCCTACACTGATCTTCCAGCTCTCTCCACACTCCACCAATACCAGCAGTGTCCAAGGACAAAGCCAGTACTTCCCCCCACAACAACTGACCACAGAAACCCAACATGGATGCTCTGTCAATGTGACATAACCCCAAATTCCATAAAGCCATCCCTGCATTAGGAAACACCCAATGAAATCCTCCCAATTGCTTTCTAACGTATTTTCAATTTCAGAACTGTATTTTACCAGAATAAATCAAAACTTACATACACTGCTCAGGATCAAAACCCTGGCTCTAAGGAGACTATTACATCTCAAACATTCAGATTTGCCTTATGTCCATTTTACCTTGCTGAAATATTTCAGGCCACCTCCATAACACGGCAGACCCCCTTTGCCCTCCACCCCTGTACACTGTGAGCAGCCACTCTTTCTATGGTTTTCTCCCAGTACCCTCAGTAACAACCTTGTTCAAATACACCATTTATCATCTGCAAAGTTGATTCTATAACAAATCTATAGGATATGCACTGCCTTTGACACCAGTTCTGGACAGTTTGCTGGAAAAGCACAGGAACAAGCACAGCACCTTTAATCTATTCAGGTAGCGCCTCGTGTGAACCACCAGCAGATCTTCATCAGTCGCCTCCCGTGCCTGTACAACCAAGTCATCTGCAATTAGTTTTTCTTCTGCAACAGGAGAGAAATAACAATTGGCATTGTACACCATGGCTTAACTCCCCATGCCCCACCCTGCCAAAGGTGCTGTTCTGACTTTGGTGGAACAACTTCAGCTGTTGGTTGTTGCTGAAACAACTCTGGTTACTCAGCATTTGCAAGTTCTCCAAATGCACCCAGGTAAGTTATTCAGGGAGTGTGTATATGAGAAATACTGTTTACAGCAAGTGTGATCATGGTAACTCCTTGTTTCAACTGCAAGAACAGACTGGTAGTGGCAGAGGATGGACACACACAACGGCATCACAAGACTCCTCAGTTTAGGGCTTGGCACACTGGGCAAATCTTGGTGCTATTAACATCAAATATTCATCAATTTTTAACATGCTTTAAGAAATCCCACAGTTTATACTGGTATTTAATTCCCCAAATCAAAGCAGAATAAAATAATAAATCAAAATCTAAACCAAAATCATTGCTTGGACGTTCATGGAAGCAAACAAGCTTCATTAGGATACTTCTGGCACACTCCTACCCCAATCTAATTTCAAGAAATACCAATGACCAGCTACAAGCTTTTTGTCTTAAACACCAAAAGATAAATTAAAAAGTTTTATAAGAGCAAGTTACAAAGTATCCCTCCAAGATTTCAGAATGTGATCAAAGATAGCACATTTGAGTGCATCCATCTGAAAGTTCAGATGTGGGCCAACCTCAAAGGCCAGGCAGTGCAGAAGAACAGTGGCACTTTGCATATGATCACTGCTAACAACAATTATAAGGCATCATGCTCATCTTCCCAGGCAAATTTTGATATTTAACTGCTGCATGGCTGCAACCTTCTGTATCTTTGATTTTATACTTGGAGGAGAAAGAAAACAACTCGGAAATGTGAGAGATTGTGTTCTGAAGTGTTATACAAGCACAGCACCTGCAACTACATTTGTTTTGGCAAGGCTCTGTTTCTCCTGACTGAGGCCTGAGGAACATTTCATTCATGCCCTGGTGTCAGACAGAGCCCAGCTGCTGCCAGCTTCCCTCCCCAGGAGGGAACACTTGTTCACTGCTGATTTGCTGATAGGAACAGGGGAGGTCAGCTCTTGCCAGAGCAAACCCAGCACCCTGGGCTACCCTGGGGCTTCTTTCTCCTTTCAAAGCAAGGACAGTAAAACAAGTGGGAAAACTCATTTTCTGTGAAAGACTGAGACACTTCAGAATGGACACGTCACGTGGATAAGAGTTGGAGGAAAAGACTTTCCACGGAGAAGGAACAGAAAGGCAAAGGTTCTGATTAATTAAGAGAACTGCCATGGAGCCCAAGACTTAATTATTTCAGGTTGTTAGAGGAGAAAGCCAAAACTCAGCTACTAAGCGTGCGTTAGAATTCACTTAACCTCAGTTAAATGAATACAAGGCAGCCTAAAGAGGGAAGGACAACCCTGAACTGCACAGGATTATCAGTTGAAGGAGTTATTAGGACCACATAAAGGCCTGGCTTTGGGACAATCTTTGTCTTGACAAGAGAAAAAGCCTTTTTTTTTATTTTTTACACTTGGTGAGCAAGCTTGCACTTTAAATGAAGAGATGCCAAGATTCTATAGGCCCTGACCCTATCCCTGCTTCTTAGATTTGTATTTCCTTAATGAATTTCTGCCTGTATCTTCCAGTTGGTTTAAACAGCAATAATGAGAAGCTTCATAAAACGCTCTGCCCATCACCAGAGGCACCTCAAAGCTCTTTCCAAACACTGAACACTATCAGAGCAATAGGATGAGGTTGCTAAAGAGTGGATTTACACAAAGTGCAGTTCTCTCTCAGCCTGAGCAGTGCCATTTGACAGCAGTCCAAGCTGAACGACTGAGTTACACCTGCAGCAAACCATCATTAACACCTGTAGTTTCACAAGCCAAAGGAATGTCCCAGATCTTGCTACACCAGGTGTAAAGCAAGAGTAGCAAGAGGCCATAGGAAGCCACTCACTGCACTCCCAAACTGCAGCTCAGGTGTGGTAAGCCCAGCTGTTTGTAAGATTGCAGCTCACGCAGGAAGGATTTTCCTTTCCCTGATTCTGAACTCAAGTCTGTGTTCTGACTGAGAGCCAGGCTTGGGCTTCAAAAGTAAGGACAAACTGGAGCTGCAAACAGAGCTGTCCTCCAGAGGAAACTTAAAAGAAATACTGCTCTCAGACACTCACCTAGAATTGAAAGAAAGAGTGATTCAGTAAAAATCAGCCAAGTATCAAAACACTGTATGCTAAGCTATATCTACCTCACTCGGCTGGGCTGAAAGCCAAGATCCTGGTGCTCACTTCAGAGGTGGAAACAATTCTCAAACATCCCACAGGAACTTTTCTTGTAAAGGCCAAGCAATGAAATTCTGCTCACTTCATGCCTTCATTCCAAGTATAAAGACCGGAACTATTTTAGGATGGTCTAAGACATGGCTGTGCTCACATTTCTTCTTCCTCCTTTTTACTCACAGCCTTGTAAAGCCCTGGGCCTGGCTCAAATGAACCAAACTAGTTACTCTGACCAGTATTATTCCTGCCTCTGGGGAGAGCAAATCATTTGATGAGCTTCAATCTCCAGGCACATTTCACGAGTTTCTCTCTGCACAGACACCATGACTGAGCTGAACCCAAAACTGTGGGTTTATTCAATGGAGCAGGCTAGAAAATACATTTCCTAAGGACTGTGATTCAAACCTTTGTATTAAAAAGCCCTAGTGTAGGATGTTTGCTCTCACATTACAAATTAGTCTCTTAAATACTTCATAGACAAAATCTTCAACAATGACATCCAACCCACCTCAAAAATCCTACAATTGATTTCACTTATTAAGACTTAAGTCTGCAACTATATAAAAATACTAAAGCACTCCAAATATGATTAAAGAAGGTAGCTTAAATCTACACAAAGAGCAATGAAGAAATACAGTCTCTATTATGTTGGCAGTTATCAACATGACTCTGCACTAATCACAGAATTTTCTTCAGCTTTTATGCAAACGTTGGTCTGAGAGGCACCTTCTAATTTTACCTTTCAAGAAATTGATTACTTTTCCCCATTTCCCTGCATCGAAGGGGTGCAGTTTCTCAAGTCCCATGAAGGTGATGTTGTAGTCTGGAGAATACACGATAGGCCAACATCCTGACGGGGGGTCCTCGTACAGCTCCGTCCTGTGGGGCCTTGACAAGCACAGAAACAAACTCATCACCATTAGAAATTAGTTACCCTAGTTTTACCCCAAATTATAAATGAGAGTCCTTGTCAATACCAACTTTACATTGGGAATTATTCCTGAAAATGCTTTTTCCAACAGTCAGTGAAGGCAACGCTTGGTTGCAACAGCTCTTTAGGGTCAGGGAGTTAAACTCTTGAACTAAGCAGTAGCGGGGAAAATAGAACAACTGATGGCTGAAAAATGTACACTAATGAATTATGCATATGAAGTTCACTGCAGAACTTAAATAATGGACAGATTTGGTTCTCTCCCCTTGTCTTTTCAAGTGCACCAACCAGCACCTCTACCTTCAAAGGTGCATCCAGTCCACAGCCAACATAACTTTCAACACAGGTCTCACGTTTTAAAGTGTCTATCAAAACACAACTGAAGAAACCAAACCATGTTGCTCCTACACATGACACAAGCTTGGAAAGATTTCTAGGATCCTTTCCCAGAAGCAACAGATTATCTTGTGACCAGATGAGCACAATAAGAGGCTTGGGTTTGTATCTGCATAGCACAGAACCACAGGACACACTTTTAAGTCCAGATCTCCTGCCTATATCCCTTAACCACTATCCTCCTTCATTCCTCCTCCAAATTATTGTATTTTCCCAACAATCTTCTCCTTTCCCAGCTGGAGAGACAGCAAGCCCTCCTTCCCATCCCATCAGTGAACAGGCAATGCTGTGTAGTTACAAACACAATCACCAATTATTTGGTAGACACTTGTGTGCACAAGTGGGTCAGCAGGCGAGGGGGATTCTGTGCTCACACTCAGCCTATTCCACCACCTGTGGGCTCCTCCTGTGCCCCAAACCCCCGTCACCGAGTCACGCCGAGAGCTCTCTTGCTCCCCGAAACTTAGCTGAAGTTTTCAAAAGGCTCCACAACGCACTGAGCAAGACACAAGAGCCTTTTGTCAGGTGAACAATAGACACAGAAACCCCCTTATTTCCAGCATAAATATGCTCAAAACCGCCCTTTTAAAACCCAGTTATAAACAAACCAAACCAAGCCTGAGGACAAAGGCGGTTTTTCAGCAGAGCCTGCCCACACAGCGCCCACACACAGAGCTGGGCTCTGGGCCGTGCCCTCACCCAGCCAGGTACAGACACACCTGGGGGCAGGTGCTGTGCCTGCTGTGCCCTCAGTCTGGGTACAGACACACCTGGGGGACAGGTGCTGTACCCCCTCAGCCCCCAGCCCAGGTACGGACACACCTGGGGGACAGGTGCTGTGCCCCCTGGGCCCTGGGCCCACCACACACCTGTGGGGCAGGTGCGGAGCCCCCTGAGCCCCCAGCCAGGTACAGACACAACTCGGGGGCAGGTGCTGTGCCCTGGGCCCACCACACACCTGGGGGCAGGTGCTGTGCCCCCTGTGCCCTGGGCCCACCACACACCTGTGGGGCAGGTGCGGAGCCCCCGCCGGGCCCGGCAGCGCGGCCTCGGCGCCGCAGGGGCTGCGGGCACTGGTCCCTTCCCCGGGGTCGGCCCTGCTCCCGGAGGAACACGCCGCTTCCAGGGGCTCCTCGTGCTCCCAGCGGGACATCCCTCCCCCGGCAGGGCCGCTCCCGGCCGGCCGGGCGGGCCTCGGGCGCGGGGCCGGGCCCGCGGGGGCTCAGGCGCTGCCGCTGCCGCAGCCCCGGCCCGGCCCTGCGGCTCCGCGGGCCCCGCGGCCGGGCCGGCCGGGCCCCCCCGTCCCTGTCCCTGTCCCTGTCCCTGTCCCTGTCCCCGTGCCCAGCCCCGTCCCCGTGCCCGCGGCCGTACTCACATCCCCGCCTCCGCCGGGCCGCGTAGGGAAGGGGCGGCGCGGCCGCAGCTCCGCCCGGCGCGGGGCGGTGCGGGAGCGCTGCGGACCCGCCCGGCCCGGGGAGCGCTCCGGACCCGCCCGGCCCGGGGAGCGCTCCGGACCCGCCCGGCCCGGGGAGCGCTCCGGACCCGCCGCCCCGGGATCTGCGGCACCGCCGCAAGGACGGAGAGCGCGGGGTCGGGTGTCCGCGGCTCTCGGTACAGGCGGTGAGGCCTCGCAGGACGAGCTCTTGGTGTAATGTGGGAGTTGGAGAGACTCAACCCATGCCTGTGATTTTATGTCAAGGGCCTGAAAGTGATTCCAGGCATCCTTCCTACTTTGGATAGGAAAATATCATCCTCATCGTAACAAAGTTAAGATACCAGTAGCTGAAGAGATGTAGCAGGCCAGCAGCAAAATGAGGGAAACAACGGCGAAATAGTGATCTCGCCTAACAGCAGCAGAACTCCTGCTGATTTTGGCAGGTCATGATTCACTCCAGGAACACCATCCCTAAATCCAGGCACACAAGTAAGCTAGACTAAGCATACTTAACTAATCCTGCTTGAATATATACAGGAAGCGTTTCTTACGCAGGTGTACAACTGAATCAGTAACACCGTCATGAAAGATGGCCCATCGATAGCAGCAACATCTACCAAACCGGGATAAACGCCCAAAAGCATTTAGGCATTAGGAGTAATGTCTTTTTATGAGGAATCTAGATACATGTCTTTTTATGAGAATTCCAGATAAATGTCTTTCTTCTTAAAATACACCAGCTTTGGCTTGACATTCAGTATTGATGGATGCCTGGACTTCACCTTGGTATTTATTTAGCAGCAGGAGACTGTTATCCCACGAAAACATTCTATCCCTTTGACATTATCTTTTAATTACCATTTCTTTTGTTCTGCCCCTTCACATGCTGCCTCATTATTCGTTCAGCATATCTACCTTTTCTTCCTTCTTCCTGACTACTTAAAGCTCGGGGCTTAATTAGAGTTTGAGTGTTTGGTTAATAAGCCACAAACATAAGGTGTCTTTATTTCATTTTATTTATATTAACTTCTAGTTAAATTAAAAATCAACTTGCAGACTCGTTTCCGTATTTGTCGGATATCATAAATTGTTTGTCATATTCACTTTCCCATTAACAGGCCCTGGCACGGGTTGCCCAGAGAAGCTGGGGCTGCCCCATCCCTGGAAGTGTCCAAGGCCAACCTGGGATAGTGGAAGGTGTCCCTGCCCATGGCAGGGGGTGGAACTGGATGAGCTTTAAGGTCCTTCCAACCCAAACCAGTCTGGGATTCTGTGATTCTATGATTAATCATTTGCATCTAAACTATTGACACCCACGCTCCTCCAAATGGAGAGTTTACTTAGTCATTCCTTTTTTCACCACCAAATATCAAATGAAAACATCTGCTCCTCTGTTCTGGATAGTTGTGACATGGGTTGCTGTCATTTTCCTCCTCTTACCCCACAAGCTGGATTCTTACCTGCAGGCTGATTCCCACCAGCCCCCAAAATAATCCCCTTTCCTTTCTGCATCCCTTGCTCCCTTGGAGGCACCCTAAGGAAGGGCTCCTATAGAATCACAGAATCGTTAAGGTCGGAAAAGACCTTTAAGATCATCAAGTCCCACTATCAACCCAGCACCACCACCCTGTTCACCACTAAACCGTGTCCTCAAGTGTCACATCCACGTTATTTGAACACTTCCAGGGATGGGGACTCCACCACTGCCTGGGCATCCTGTGCCAATGCCTGACAGCCCTTTCCATGCAGAAATTCTCCTCATAGCCAACCTAAACCTCCCCTGGTGCATACTTAGACTAACACCTGTTCACTCTTGCTGGGGTATGATTATTTTTGCCTCTAGCAAAAAAGAAACACAATCAAGACATGGAACTTTTTCCACATAGGACACGATACTGAAGATTTTAGAAATGAGAAAATATTGTTTCTGGTATCCATGTACCATCTGGGCGTTCGTGATTGTTATTCTTGATCCTGCCGTGGCTCCAAGGAACTGCAGCTGTGACACCAAACACCCTCATTCCCCGTTCCAGAGGAGGGACAGTCCGGCTGTGGAAGCATTTGCAGTTGGTTGCATTGCTGCAATGACTTCCAGCAGATTTTAACCAAACCATTATGAGGCATAACATTGTTGCTCAGTTTTATCTTTTTGTGCAGGAAAGTAATCATTTCCTCATGAATAGGCCCAAAGCACGCAAGAGAATGACCCATTCTGGATTTTGGACGTTGCCTGAGCTCCAGTTTTCTGCCAGCAAATTTTGCAAGGCAAATGGATTAGCAAACCTTATAGCACAGGAGAAGAAACACAGCTGAGCAAATAATGGCACTTTTGGTTCACTAGTCACTCTGAAAAAAAACTTTTTTGGAGAAAATTTGAGGTTCAAATTATCTTTTTATGTTACAGCACTTGAAGCAGCGAAAATATATTTTAAATACACATAAGTGAAATAAGTCTGATTTTTATTTATCTAAAAATTAAATTCAACAAATAATACATTTGTAAATTAATATACATTCACACAATGTACTGGAATAGCTGCATCCATACTTTTCACTGGAAGATATTTCCTATGAAATCCTGTTGAGTTCTAATCTTCTCTTTACAAGCCCGAAAAGCAGAGCAACAGCAATAAGTCAGAAAATATGAGAAAATTACCTAAGTTCCTTAAAATAAAAGCACATTGAACAAGCAGAAACTAGTTACAGACCACACAGAGCCCAGCCTTCTCTACATTGTTTGGAGTCCTTTAAAATTAGGCCCTGAATACACCATAGAAGTGAGAAAATAGATGAAGCACTACATGGCTTGTGCAGGTACTGATGCTGTTTCTCAACTCATGGCTCTGTTTTCCCAAGACAAAGGAAATGTTTTCTCCTTGTACCATTTTGCTTCTGTGGAGACAAATGCAATTTGGATGGTTTTGACAACATCATGGCCAACGCTGGGTGCCGTGCTGAGGGAGTCTATGTATTGCTGCACACCTGAAAGCACAGGCACATCATTGTTCCAATAAATAAGCAGCAACTATTAACTCTCAAGGTCTGGCCTGTTTAATGTCCTCTCCATCATCCAGGAGATCATTCGTCTCGTGTTGACAATCATCAAAGGGCTGCCTGCCTTCCAAAGAGAAATACTTTCTTATAATGGGGTTCCAATTCAAAACTGAACCCAGGAACTCTCTCCAGGCTGTTCATGTGGTTGGTGCCTTTAAAGTTCAGAGATCCACCTGTGTGGATCCATGTGAAGATGGCTCCAGCAGCCTGAACTGCAAAACCAACTTTCAGCAAACAGAAAAACGAGTCTGATTAATGTCCCCTGTGAAAGGAACTGGTTGGTTGGGCCTGCCAGGAATCGTCCCAGTTTACTAAATCTGTTCAAGTCATTTCTTTAGTAGAATGAGGGAACTTGGCAAAAGCCCTTCAGCAGCTTCTCAGCCTCACTTAGAAGAGAAAATGACTTCTAAGTTTCATAGAATCATAGAACTGTGGGATTGTTAGGGGTGGAAAAGACCTTTAAGATCAAGTTCAACTGTCAACCCAGCACCATCACCCTGTTCACCACTAAACCATGTCCTCAAGTGCGATGTCCACATGTTTTTTGAACACTTCCAGGGATAGGGACTCCACCACTGCCCTGGGCAACCTGTGCCAATGCCTGACAGCCCTTTCCACGAAGAAACTTTCTCTAATTTTTCTCATCTAAACCTCCCCTGGTACAGCTTGAGGCCGTTCCCTCTCCTCCTGTCCCTTGTTCCCTGGCAGCAGAGCCCGACCCCCCCAGCTCCCCCCTCCTGTCAGGGGGTTGCAGAGCCAGAAGGTCCCCCCTGAGCCTCCTTTTCTCCAGGCTGAGCCCTCCCAGCTCCCTCAGCTGCTCCTGCTGCTCCAGCCCCTTCCCCAGCTCCGTCCCCTTCTCTGGACACACTTCAGCACCTCAAGGTCTTTCTGGTCCTGAAGGGCTCACTACAAGAAGTTTTGATATTCTGTGATGGTGAAATTACTTAAACATGATGAATGGTGAAACACAATAAGGGCTTTTCCATATGAAGAAACAGTGACATTACAGACAAAAGTCAGTGGTAGCAAATTCATGATATAATGAAAATTGAGCCTATAGATGACTGACATAACCTCTGGGTCACCTCCCTCACAAATGAAGCAGTGTGAGGCCAAATTACGAGTTGATGCAATGCAGAGTATTATTTTAACCTCCTGGAAACTTTGCAGTTACTGCCTGGAGCTGGAATAATGCAGGAGTTTGGGATAACCCCAGTAGATCTGATCAGGCCTGACATGTGCAGCTCTCCTCCCCTCCCCTGCACGGAGGCAGCTGAACTACCTCCAGATCTCCCCCCTCTCTTGTCACGACAGCCTGTCCTCTGCAGAGGGAAAAAGCGCTGTGTGAATCAGCTCATTCTGCTTCAGCTGTGAGATGCCAAATATCCTTCCTCAAAGGGCAATCCTTCGGGACTGACATAAGAGCCACATCACAAAAACTTTGCTTTCAAACCTCTTTGAGTTGAGGCTTTTGAAACAGGTAACATCAAGAATCTGTGGATAAAATCTGGAATGAAATACTTGTAAAGGAACATATAAAAAAGGGATTTTTTAATTTACATTGGGACTGACTTTTCCTGTAAAAAAATTTAATAGTAACTCATTACATGAATTTCTACAGTAATATAATTGATGCTTTTCAAACAGAAAATAATATATTGAGAGCCTGTGCTACTTTAATCTCTTTGATCCTGAGGGCTTTGATCTGCCATGGGGTGACATGACTGAGATCAGGCATTTACTTCGGTGGTGTGTTGAAAATGTGAAATTATTGATTCCTGTAATCCAGCGGAGCAGAAAAAGGTCTGTGCTTTTTATAGCTCAGAAACTGATACAGCTTCCTTCCCTTGCTGTTGCTCAGAGCTGCTGGAAATGTAAGGCCTGAATATTCCTTAAAGATAAGATTATTTTCCTCACAGTCTTATCTTCACTCTTATTAGCCTAAGTGCTTCTCCTTCTCTGAATTACACGTGATTGAAACCCTCAGTTTTCAAAACATGGCACGATCCACTAAGCACCACTCTGTGCCTTCAGTGACACGTGATTTTCAAGGTGAGAGATGCTGGCTATTGCCACAGAATTCAGATGATACAGATCCCAGTGAGGGTTTATCCAAAATAGCCTTTAAATATCCATTTCAAATTCCCTGGAGGGACTTAGTGCCTTGAGCCAGTGGTGGAAGCCCAAAGACTTGATTTACTCTCATACCCTGTAAACATCTGCAAGTCAGCATCAAACTGGAGAAAACTGTGTTTATTACAGCAAGGTGCCTTCTGAACCAAAAACCTTTCCAAGCAAGTGATTCATTTGCAGGTCCCTTTGGAGCTGCAGCCTGCTGCTCACTGGGTGAACATGAGCACAGAAGGGAAACACAGTTAAGTTAATTAACACATTCTCTGGTACTCCAGATTAGTCTACAAATTAATTTGTAACCATTCTTCCAGAGCATGTTTATAACTGTGTGTGTGGTATGTAATTTTTTTAATTTCATTGCCAATTACAGACACACCCTGAAGTCTAGTATTCTGTTATCTATCAAAATAACCAGGGTTGTGCATAACATGTACAGTTTGCAGTCCTAAGAACAACCAGATACACAAAAACTTTCATCTCATAATTAGCATGTTCAGCTGAGCATGTTTAGTTGATATTTGCCCCATTCTGATTTTTAAGTGCTTTGATAATCTGAGTGATAATTAGTCTGTTTATAATATGAAAGAAAGAGGTGAAGTACAACCCAAATTTCTGCCCCACCTTTTCCAAGTACATTCAGCAGAAACACAATCGGGCCTGCTACTCAACTGGAGGGACAAGTGTAGTAAACACTGGCAATATGGTTAAAAGGATACTATTATACTACTTAGACTAGCAGGAAAAGGTTAAATCTCAGATTTCAGGACTTTTTTGTTTCAGATGGCCTCCTGCACCTTTCCCATTACTAAGGTTACAATTGCTACGTTGGTATTGGAATTTAATCAAATTGGGGCTGGGGAAGGAAATGCAGTTTTATGTTCTAAAGATATCCCAGAATCCCAGAATGGTTTAGGTTGGAAGGGACCTTAAAGGTCATCTCATTCCAACCCCCTGTCATGGGCAGGGATGCCACTCACTAGATCAGGTTGCTCAGGGCCTCATCCAGCCTGGCCTTGAACACTTAGAACCAGGAGCTTGGATTTTCTACTATCAGCAGCACAATCAGCATTTGCAGTGACTTGAACACCTCTGCTATCCTGAGAGAAGCCCAGGGTTCAGCAAGTGAGGTGTGGCTTGTGGGAAAAATCATTATGGCACAAAACATACTTGAAACGTTTCCAAATCCATTATTGCTTTTCAGTATATTCTGATTTCTGTGCTAGTTTTAGATTCATAAATTGCAATGCAACAATGCCCCCAGAGATATCCTGGAGGAATTTCAATCTCAGTGTTCACCTGAGCACAGCCGAGAAAAGCAAGGGAACCACAACAATATGAACCATTCCTAAAGGAACTGGCTTTATTCCAAGGTTACGAGGTTGGGTAGGCTCAGAACTATTCAGAAACTCCTTCAGAGTCAAAGGCCTTCAGCTGAAATTCCTCACCAGCACCGTGAGGGGTTCACATGATTAGATGGCGATGTCTTGGGATAACTAGAAGGGACATTTTATTTGTTCTCAAATACCATGGTATTTGAGACACAATTATACCACACAATTTAGAGGTGAATTATCAGATAACTGACACTCAAACTATAGAGGCATTATGAATTAATATCAGTGTTTTGAGTCACTTGTTTTGGCAAACAGGCAGCTGGTACAATCCAGTGCCCTATGCCTGACATCCCTAAACCAATGTTTCCATTGCTGAATAGCAATGAAATAATGATGGCAAGGAGACACCATGGTAAAGTGGAGTTGCATAAGGCCACACAGCTTCCAAAATAATCATCCTACACCACTGCATTGAGTCAGACTGTGGTTTTGGAAGGGAAGAACTGAAGTGTTACACAAAGAGAAGCAGCACACACGGGGGATGTGAGGGGCATTCAGTGTTTGTTTTGAAAGGGTGAGGAACACTCCTCCAAGTCATGGTGATCAAATTCCCTAAGGAACATCCCAATGGTATTTTTAAATCAATTTTTCAGTCACTTTAAGCAACATTCTAAAAAAATTGACTTAATTAATATTGATCTGGAATTTGATGTACTGCTCACAGAAACGAGAGGGAAGGGACAGGATTCTGCCTCTGCTTTGTGCCCAGGAAACTCTACAGGAAGCCAGGAATCTGTGAAGTGAAGATAAACCCCACCAGCAAGAAAATAAAGTGCCAGAGATGAGCCTGCATTGGCTCTGGGTAGCTACAGCACAGCTCTGGGGTGTTCTGGTGCGTGGCCAGAGGAGCCATCAGAATCCACCCAAAATCTAGTTGTGACACATGTTGCTGCATCACACTCCCACATGTCATCCACGTTTGTTTTCCTGAGAACAAGATAACATTTCTTAGTTGTATTGCAATAAAAATTCTGACTGGTGAAAAACCATGAGATAGATAAATATATGCATATAAAAAAAAAGTAGAGGGGATATGGGAGCAAAGATACACTCGGTGCACTATGATGCAATCAAGAAATACTTACTTTTTAGAAAGTCTCACAGCCAGGGACCCTTCATAAATTTCAGACAAAGATGACCCCTCTTGTTTTCCTCTCCAATTCCATATGTAAAATCCATACTGTAATACCCCGGCCAGCTCAGTGAGTTTAGGGCAAGGTTCTTTGATTCACTCTGGGCACTGCATGGGACAAAGCAAAATTCTCAGGAGGTTCAGTAACAAACTTTTACAAAGGGAAACTTTAGAAACTTATGGTAGAATCAAGTACTTGGCAAATTTTAAACCAACATCCAAAGTAAGGCATGTCACAAACTTTAACTTATCCAGACACAACAAGGCATGCACAGGAATTTTTTAGTCTGGCTTACAATATACTGCAAGAAGAAGTTTGGAGAAGAAAGAGAGAGAGAAGCATGTGTTGTATGACAGTGTCTGTCAAAAATGTACCTGGTTAATTTTTCTAGGGACAGACAGAATCAGACAGTCAATTAGTGCCTTGCAGTCACGCAGTGAAGGAGTTTATGGGGGTTGATGGTCTGTGGGTAAAAGTCATTAAGCTCTGTGGGCCATGAACCAGGTCTGAGCGTTGCACTGCACAAACCCTGCCTGTGTCCTGAGAGACACCACCTGTAAGTGGTGGTGGAGATGGAAATCAGAGCTTCTGAAGATTTCAGGGAACTGCTGTTCTTGCTTTCTTAGCCACCATTGCACCGAGTTTCATCCTCAAGGCCATGACACAGTTTCAGTTCCTTCAGTGTCGGGGTTGGTGTCACTGCCTGAATGGGAGGTGCCTTTTGTCTTGGTGGTGCCCTCGGGGAGCACGAGCAGTGCTGGGATCTCAGGGGCTCTCTGACGTCTCTTGCAGGGACTGGGCAAGTGCTTCGCTGTGATGCCATAGTTGATCTAATTCATGGCATCCAAATTGTGTCCACAACGAGAGAGCTCTACCTCGAGGATTCCCCCCTGCAGCTGAAAATTCTGGCTTTGGATTCGGAAGGTAAGAGATGTGGTGGTGGGAGATTAAATCTCTGTTGAAAGGTGTAATTGTCTGATGTGTGCACTGGTTGTATTTGTGACACAGCTGATTGAAGCCAAGTGGAGTCAGTCCAACTTTTTGGGGCAGGCCATGGGGTCACTCCACCATTTTGGGGCCAGCCATGGGGTTGGCCACTGCCATTTCAGGGTGGAGCAGAGGCTGACTGAGGCTCAGTGGAGCAGCCACTGGACACTTGTGTCACTGTCCTTGTCTCTGCTCCGCTCCACTGGGGCCTCCCCGAGGGGCAGCTGTGATAAAATGTTCCTCAGGGGCCCACGCAGTCGTGTGGCACCATCTGGGGCTCACAGCACGTCACGGCTCAGTCTGCCATGCTGGGGCAGGCCATGGGGTCACTCTGACATTTTGGGGCAGCACAAACAGCTGGTGCCACTCTCTGCTTCGCCATGAAGGTTGTTCCTCTGCTCTGTCTCTCGGTGCTGGCTGCGGTTGTGCCCCATCGCTGGGCACTTTGCCCGTAACATACCCCCTCTTTTGGACACTGTTGTTATTAGGATTGTTGCTGTTACTGTTCATTTTCTGATCTCATTGCTGCTTCCTGTAAATTGTTATCTCAGCCCACAGCCTGTGCCTTTTGTGTCTCTCACCTCAGAGGGCAGGGCTCACGGGGCCAAAGGGCACCATCCTGGGGCTCACAGCACACCACGGTCAGTCTGTGATACTGGGGTGGCTGTGCAGCCACTCTGCCATCTGGGGGCTTCACACGTGGTAGATTCACCATTCTGGGGCAGGCCATGGGGTCACTCCACCATTTTGGGGCACACCATGGGGCAGTCCACCATGGGGTCACTCACTATGTAAAACCTGCTCTAGCTGAATATGGTGAACCAAAATATGCAATCCTGTTTACTCTTTCTGTTCTCTCCCCATTCGAGAGCAGTATCAACCTGGTCTCTCAAACTGAGCATTGTTAGGACACTCGGTGAGGGTTTATTTCTATTTATTTGTACGTTAAGGTGGCCCAAATCCCTACCCTGGCAGGGCAGGACCACCTTTAGACTGGGCTGGAGGTTGGGGCCGCAGGGCTCGGGGGCAGAGGGGCTCCTTTTCCTGGCAGCTGGACCAGGAGAGTGAGAAGCCCGTTCTTCAGCCGCGTCAGCACGGCCGGCTTTGGGCAGGAAGAGCAGAGATGAGAGGTCCAGCTCTTCCTGCCTGATATGCTTTGAAGCTGGCTCCCTGCCAAGTCTCCAAAATTTACCACCAGATGTCCCTGCCCCCCGCCCCCAAAACCTCAGGGAGAAGAGGGAGAAAAAAAACCTAAAGAAAACCCGAAACGAGAGAGAGACAGCTAAAGTGATATATATAAATATATTTACACCTATGTTACACTTATATACAATTAAAATATACAATTTCCCAAGGGAAAGGGAAGGGGGAAGGGAAAGGGAACAAAACCAAAATAAAATATATATATATATATATATATCCCAATTAGTGGCCCGAGATCTAGTAACTAAAAAAGTTAGCAAGGAAAAAGATGGAATCAAAACCCAAATTAAAACACACTGTCGCAGGAAGATGGCGGGACACAGAGGCAGGGGGCAGGCTGTCTCCCTCTCTCTCCCTCTCTGTTGCTGTGAGGAACAGCAGCGGGTGCAGTAGCCAGCGGGGCTGTGGCATCTGCCGGGGTGACTACAGCAGCAGTCTCTCCCTGGGCAGGGAGCAGCAGTAGCAACAGTTGCCACTTGCAGGCTCCCGCCTTCGCTCCTTTTGGGCAGACCACGCTGCAATTTCAGCAACAGAAAAAAACCAGAAACCCAGAACCCAGCAGAATCTGGATCTCGGGGAGGGCTCTTCCTGGCAAAGTCTCTCGCTGCAGTGCGGGCAGTGGCAGCCCCAGCAGCGATTGCCACTGCAGGTTGCCTTGAGAGAAGTGACGCAGGGGAGAAGGGTGGCCCTCCAACGCAGGGGAGAAGGGTGGCCCCTTCCCCTTCTAGACCTTGGCTTTTTCCTTTCAAGTCCACACCTCCGGGTGAGGAGGTGATTTCTGAATATTCATCACTAAAGCTCCACCCCCTGGCTTTGGGAACCATAAAGCAGCCCATTTGAGGAGCACAAGGCCCAGATGGTCCCGCTGCAATAAATGTGCCCTCAGCCCAAGGTCCCTCACCACGGGCTCCCCCAGCCCCAGCCTGGCTCCTGCCTGCCCACACCGTGGGCATCCACGGCTGCGCCCGGGCACGGAGCTCAGCCAGGGCTGGGGCCTTGGGGCTTTGCTGGTGGGACCACCCGGACACTCAGCTGAGGGTTTATTGCTATTTATTTGTACGTTAAGGTGGCCCAAATCCCTACCCTGGCAGGGCAGGACCACCTTTAGACGGGGCTGGAGGTTGGGGCCACAGGGCTCGGGGGCAGAGGGGCTCCTTTTCCTGGCAGCTTTCATCAAATGCTCACTAACAATGTGCTCTTTAGGGGGTGCCCGAGGTTGTGCTCTGGGGTTGGCAATACAGTGTTGCTCATACATAAGATTAATGAAAGTCAAATTTAAATGTATTCTGGTCAGAAATCCTTGAGTATGCCCCAGACAAGGGCACCTTGAATGAGCTGTTGTGACCTGTGCATCTAAGGCTCCATCGTCCACTGGTGTATTTAGTATTATTAATATCCCTACTGCTAGAACTATGACTAATACAACCTTTCTGGCTTGTAGAAATGTAAGATGTGCTCATCAGTGGAGCCTCTTGGATGGGGAGATGTGACAGAAAAAGAAATTAGTTATTCTTCAACAGAGCATGGTCTCGATCTCATGCAGTAGATAATGTTTCAGGGCACACTCTTGAGCGTGGACTGAGGAGAAAACAAAATAATCAAGTATCATCCTTTCTGTGCCCTTGAGCAGAGCAGGGGCTCTTCTGACAGGTCTCCCTGTCCACATACCAGAAGTGTTTGAACAGGGAATTAAAGGCTACAAAATCTTACATGTGAAAGACGAGATGTGTTAAGTTTGCCCAAGTAATCTTACTCTGGTATTTACTTATTTTTCAGTGTTCTTTTTTTTTTTATTTTTATCATTTTTAGCATATTTTTATCTGATCTTGTCTGTATTTTTGTAGCAGCCTGTCTTCTGGCAAACTATTATTGGTTTATTTGAATATTTGCATGACTGAACAGTGGCATTTGTGAAAAAGAAAGCAAATAATGGTTGGTTTTTTTTCCGAATGGATTTATAAGGAGATAAAATCCACTATTTCCCTCTCCACAGTGCCAGATTAACCCAAATTGGAAGCCAACTTCCCAGAATCCCATCTGAACACTCTCAGTATGCTTCATTTGTTTAAACTGCCAGGACAGCCAAACCTTTGGGGAGGCACCTTCTTCCCAGCTTCAAATGTGTTTCACTGAAGGCCAGAGGCACATCATCATTCGTCACAGATTGCTCTTACCCCACTGGAAATGCTCCTCTCATTTGGTGTGATGCCAGTTCCTACTGAGAGCTCCTCAAAGCCTCCCAGCATGTTTAGGACTCGAGGTGAGCCAACAGATACCTGAAGTTACAGATCTTTAGAAACAAATCCCTGGTAAATACCTCTCTCCAGAAATGAGGATTGAGTTACCCTGCCTGGTTTGAAAGAAGCTGCAGGTCACATTTACACGGATTGAGGCTGCTTCTGGCTCTGCAATATGCTTTGGGTTTCCCTGTGCTTCATCTTCCCTTTCCTGGAGTGCTTGGCCAGAGCTGCTGCCTGCCAGTGATGCAGTCAAGGGTAGGCACTGTTTATCCCTGGCACCATACACACTAATTTGACCTCTCCAGAGACTGTTCCCCCTTCCTGGTGTCTGCCTTGGAACACTGAGTAGTTTACCCTCTTGGTTAATTATTAGACAATTGCATTTTTCTGGCCTTTCCATAAACCAGGACACGAGCCATGGCTGGGCGAAAGGGAAGGAGGAAAAGAGAAGAAGGGCGGTTCCATGTAAACACAAAACTTTGGGAACCTCCTTGCTTTTCAGTATCAGATATACAAGCTCTTGGTTTATTAATCACAAAAAGTAAAGCCTCATGCTTTACAGAAAGCTTAATTTCAGCAGTTTGCAAAGTGTATCTATTTCAGCTGCATTACTAAGCCAAGTATGTAATGCCCATTTGTAACACCATAGGTAAAACCTAATTACCATTAATCACTCATTATTGATGTAGGTTTGGAAATGATGTGTTGTCTCCCATTGTCTCTGGCGTGTTAAAAGACAGACTTTAAAAAAACACAACAACAACAACAAAACAACTTTTCATTTGAGTAGAGAAAGCATTAAAAATATCTATTTTCTGCCTGTCAATTCATTCTAGTCCCCTCTGAAAGAAAAGCAGATTTATCTGTTCAAAAGATACCTTGCTGGGCCTTCTAATTTCTTTAACTTTGGTCTCTACCCACAGCAACCCAGTGCCAGTGGAAAGGAACGAGGAGTCTAGAGCAGGACTCAGGACAGTATTTCCAAAATGCCAGCAATTTACTGCTCCAAGATGCAAGCTGTTGTGAACTGCAGGCCATCATCCTCTTCATGGACACTCAACTCACAAACCTGCATCAATTCACAGCAAAAGGTGCAATTTAACTCTGCCCATTTGGAGGGTGTTCAAGGATAAGGACATGCAGAAATGTGCTGAGGGGCAGAGCACCTGGAGTCACAAAGATGCACTTTTAAGAGTATTTGGAAAGTTAATAAAATATTTAGATCCTTACAGCTATCCTTAGAGATAGCTTTTTGCACTGAAGGAGTACCTTATGCCTTGTTGAATTGTTTTTAATTAAATTATGTCCTCTAGGATTAAGAAAAGAGTGTAGTTAAGTGAACGAGATATTGCTTAACATTTGAATTCTGAAGCAAATGTTGTTTCTTGCAAATATAGTCCTTGCACACACACATGGTCCTGCAATATAATTCCTCTGTTTTGTTCATTGTACAAGGAAAATGGGGCATAAGATGGAAGAGAAAAACCTTTATGGAGCTTTCAGCATCATTTTTTCAGTGGGATAGAATTACAGTCTCTAAAGCTAAGCAGGTGCAAGGTCAGACCCGAAAGAAAACTCCAGGAAGGTCAAACAGAATGTGTTCTGAACTCACAAAAACATCTTATTGCAAGGCTATAGAACAGATAGTGTAGAGTGGGCTTGGGTTTATTTTTTAATTTGGGGGTTAAATTTAAAAAATAGAGCTGTTCATTATTTACACTGAAACATCTCATTTGTCTTCTGCTTTTCACCAAGTGCTTTCCAATTCAGAAAGGGTCATTTGATTGTAATTAAGCCAAATGTCAGTGAATAATTCACTACCTTTTTCCTTCATCCCATCCTATTCATTAGTTGGAGCCAAAAGGCTCCAACTTTCAAATATAACAAATCTTTAGTCAATAATTAGTAATAATTAAAGACTCAAAGCTGTTACAGCAGCCAGTTATGAACAAAGAGGAGTCTGTTTGTGAAATGAGAACTAATAAGGGAAAAATTAATTTCTCGTCAACTTAAATATTTCCAAAAACCTAGGCCTTCATACAGTGTCCTCCTGGGAATCTTTGTAATTGCATTTGATCAACACAGAGCTAAAATTGGCATCCTTGTAATTAATTTAGGCTATTTCGTAAAAATATGGGGAGAATAATTCACATAGAGAAACTACAGCTGCAGGGTTGCTTTACAGCTTTTTTCCTCTTTCTGTGAATTATGTCAGATACCTTGTTACATAAATCAGAATGGCATTTTGGGGGCTCTTACAGTCAGAAGTGCTTAGAGGATTTACAAATTTTAAGTAGAACGCAGTGATTGTAAAATTAGCCAATATTGGGCTATATGGAGATTATTTTTATTCTTGTGTTTCACTTGTTGCAAACCTCTTACATGAGAAAAGTAAGAAAAAATTAGACTTCTAAACTAAAAGTAGAGTAAAATGAGCAAAAAATTTACAAATTGCATGAAAACCTGTTGACAAACATCCTTCTGTGGTTTTGGTTCTGGGTTACCACCAGAACCACAAAGGACTGTTTGGCAATTTCACTGGAGAAAAAGTGAAAAATTGCAATTTTATGCTGAAGCAGAGTTCATCTAACAAAAATATTTAGTCTTGTAGGATTAGTGTTGCTTCCAGTGTAACTGAGCCTGGCTCTAACCAGCATGTGTAATGCTAATGAACCTCTCAGTTGATCCTGCTGTCTCTCTATCCCCTGATTAGTGTGCTTGCTATGCAGAGAACTGATCTGAGACGGGGAGAACTCACTCAAAAGGAACCAAAACCAATAAGAAAAGCAAATGAGGGGAGAAAGGAGAGTACAAATGTGTCTCCAGGATCCCAAGAGGAAACATTTATAAATAACATAAAAAGCGTTGTTGCCAAGATGGCAGCTAGTTAGGAGGAATAAAATGGGAGATGGATGTGCATGTGCTCAAGGTGATCAGAAATGAATAAAAGCAGACTGATGGCATCTTGTAGGGAGCAGCTCTGCCTGCATAAATCAACAATACAATCACAAGAATATCCCTGAGTGGCCCTGAGCTTGAGCATGAAAAGCAGAGGGAGGCAAACGACCTTCACGAGTTCCCACACAGCCCAGCAGGTGTTGTAACAATGGGCTTCCAGCTTCCTGCCTCAGCAACAGGACACACTGGACAAGGGAGGTAGGAATTGTTAGACATGGCCCTCTCCTACCGTATCTGCTGTGAGATGGAATGACCCTGGCTTATTGCAAAGTCTAAAGTAGAACAGGAACAAATGTTTTCCCACTGTATTGTGGTTCTTTTCTAGGCTATTTTTTTGTATTCCACCACCTCATTTAGGTTTTGAGGAGAGGCTGTAATTGAGCTGGGTGTTCTCTGTCCCTCAGCAGTTAGTGAGAAGTTAGAGCAGGGCCATGGGTACAAGCAGTTCAGGTTTTCCATTCCCTGTGCTCTCCCCTGCATTTGTCAATGTCTGAATTTCATCAACCATTATGCTGCCAATTTGTCTCGTTCTGTTCCCAGGAAGTTCATCACAGCCTCCTCTTAGGAAGAGTTACACTAAATAATTTTGTCATCTGTAAATCCTGCTGACCTCATTTTTCTGTTCTACCCCTCATTTCTGCCTTTCTGGATAATTAATGAGTGTATTAAGTACTAACTACAGCCCAGATCCTTGGGACATACTAATATTAACCTCCTACTGAATTGAAAACTGACAGACTAATGAATTAAATTCTGCATGAGAACAACAGCATCGAGAGTGAAAATCAGGATAAGTTGTGATTAAAACCAAACCCAAAATTCTGCAAGTACAAGCACCTGCAATTTCTACTGAATTTTATGGGTCTCGTGAAAAAAAAACAGGTTACTTGAAGAAAACCCCAAACCAATGAAAAAACAGAGGAAATATCACTTCTGTATACCTGTTTCCCTTGCTATTCACAGACTCACTGACTTATCAAACAGTACCCTTAAGCATTTTCCCCCTTACGAAATCACTTGGCTAGAAAATCCTTGGAACATCAAAGCTTGTTTAGGTATTTGATCCAGAGGGGAGAAGCTATAGAATTTATAGCTAATCAAGCCTGAAGTAAAAGATGAGCAAAGTGAACCAAACTGATGACTACTACAGCTATAATCACGTTGGCAGGACATCCTGCCTTGTCAAAGTCATTTAGTTTTTTCTAGATATCAGAAAAATCCTCACTTTTCTCTGACACTTTGGTATAATACGTGTAATGGACATTTCTGTAAACAAAAAATATATCTGGAACATCATCAAGCCACATAAAAAAGGGCAGTTTCCTAGTGTTCTGTCACTGTTATAAAAACAATATTTTAAAACTTAGATGTGTTATAAACATCAGCAGAAAGTCTAAAGTTAGTCTTGGGACTATTATACTTCAGCATCTAAAAAAGCGTGTAATTTATATAGCAGTTTTAAAATACTCTAATTAGTGTCTCCCAAGTACAAATCCTGTAGTTTGAACTTTGTACCAGAGATAGAAGAGTACTAAAAATGCTAATGAATATTCACGTGCTCTTGAAATGAACTTCCTTCATTCCTGAACATTTTGAGAGATCAAGTTTTCTTAGCACAAATCTTCACAGAAGGTATACAGGTGTAATAATGTGTTTGATAAGTTAATAAACTAAACCTGTATAACTAAGCTAAGAGGCCTTTCCATGGGAAGCCATAAAGATCTTTGGGAAATGTGCCTTCTTTTACTACAGTTTTCCATAGGTTCTAGTCAAAGCAGATTTTGGTTCTGGGTTTGGTTCTGGTTACCACCTGTGCCTCTCTATCTGCAATGAATTTGTCTGTGACATTGTATCTAACCTCTTTATTTGTTACAAATCTGCAGCTGCAAATTCCCATGAAAGACAACTTTTTTGCTTCATAAATGATATTATTTTTGAGTGCTGAATATTCCATTCCCATGGTAACTTGATTGGTAAGTGGCCTACCTGGAAAAGTGACCCCTGAAAGGAATTTAGGAGCCAAAACAGAAATCAGGTCACTTCAGTGCAATGTGCACAGGAACTGTTACAATTGGTGCTACATTGCAGCCCCTCCTGCTTTCCCACCAACATTCTACTGCAGGAAGTGATGCCTCTTTTGAAGGAGGACTCGTCGTAGGTGTAACGCAATTTATGTTACGTTTCTTCAAGGTTGGCAAGAGGGGTTGAATTCGCTGTACTTATGTCTATATTAGAAAAAAACCTGAATGTATTTTGACTGAAAAAAAAATGTAATTTTACCGTTGAAATGCACACTTTGTAGTGCCAGTATAGATGGAGAACCACAGAGCAAGTCTGAGAGCCTTACTGGCTCTTAGGTACAGAACCCTCTAGATCACTGCCAGTGCTGAGGTAAGTGAGATCAGAAGAGTTTTACATAAAGAGAATGGCAAAAGTAGAAGAGATGATGGCATTTTATGCATTGTTCCATGCTGGTGTTTAAAGCATAAAAAATAGCGAACCCATTCAGAACAGTGTTAATGTTTAAAAAAGAGTCAGAATTATTGTACTTGACTGCCCACGTAAGATTTCTGAGCTCTACATACCATAATTTGCAACCAAGTAACCTTGAAATGACCAAATTCACTTTTGTTGGTACTATTAACTAAGTCATTAAACATATTCACATGCCTATTTATAAATTGTATTCATTATTTTCAAGATTTAAAACTACTGTGTTCTCCTAAATTACCCTGATGTATTTAAAGCAGAAACAAAGGTTGGGATTTTTTTTTGTTACTTGTCTCATCTTGTGAATTCTCCTCACTCCTGCATTCATTGAGTTGTTGGGTGAGTAGCTCATTAATGTGATTTCTATCTGTGTCTAAAGGCACAGGCAGCAGCACTGTTATGTAGGAGCTTGAAAAGACAGCTATAAATAACCTCCTTTAATAACCATAAATTTACATTAGAAAGGTAGATAAACTCTGAAGTGAGAAACGTTTATTTTTATCTGATGTTACTGTTTCATAATCTCAGCGTTATCAGACTCATCCTGAATAATTTAGTGAGGTCTTGGCGTTTTATACCATCTGGGAAAGTCTTGCATATCGAACGGATTTATAGCAGAGGAACTGGGATTTAAAGAGCTACATCTCTCTTTGGGCCTCAGTCTTACCTGGGACACATTCAAAAACTCCTAGTGACATCCCTGGCAGACTAGACTATATTTGGCCCTTATTTTACTCGTTTTCTAAATACAAATGCTCCTGTCTGAGTAATCTGAAGGAAATCAACCTCCATGGAATTATAAAGTTTCCTTTCTTGATGCCATTAATTGGCTGTCTTAATTGTGGACATTTACTGAATTTATGCCCTCCTTTGGCCAAACACCTTGGAAGGTAAACACTGGCAAGCATAGCCAAAGTGGTCAGGTTTAGAGTTGCTGTCCATCCATCATCACCTCTGTAGGGAACAGCTGGAAGGCTGAGAGGATGTTGTCATAAAACCTTCAATAGGTGCATGAAGATACAGATAGTAGGGTAAATTGAATGTCATTACTAGAGGAGAAAGTGATAAAGACATAATTGAAGAAGGACTGCTGGCTTATGTACTCTCTAAGTTTATGATACCCGTTGTAAAGCAATGCAGGGTGATGCCTCCTCTTACAGTTCCAGGTCTGTGGGAGGCAGGAGCAGCTGAGCAGGACAATGCAGAGGCAGGAACCTATCCCGTGTGCTTTGGGTGGCAGGATCAGTGCCAGGCTGGAGGGGCTTGGAGCAACCTGGTCTGGTGGAAGGTGTCCCTGCCCGAGGCAGGGGGTGGAACAAGATGAACTTTGAGGTCCCTTCCAGCCCAAACCATTCTGGGATTCTGTGAGCCTTTTGCTGGTACTAAGGGACACCAGTTGTAATGTTGTTCCTCTGTTGTTGTTTTTTAGGTACCACTTAATATATTGGACTACTTTAACTCCTTCTTTGCCTGGAGTTCCTTTGGTGGAGATACTTTGCAAGGCTCTGCAGACAGCAAACTGAGCAAAAGCTCAGCAATGAAGGCCATAGAGCCAGTCAGCCAGGACACGCACGTAAAGCACCTACTCTGGAGTCAGTGGGGGGTAAGACAGACACAAGGGCAGCAGCAGCCTGACAAGGAGGAAGGAACCTGACCATCTTTCCCAGCGATTTTTGCAAGATACTGTTCTACTCTGCAGCTTAAACACAGACAGCATCAGACAAAAAAGAGGTCCACCACTGTTCTTCCCTAAAGTTACTGTTCCCACCTTCTTCCTCTGTGTCTACTAACCTGCCCCTTTCATCTCCTCCTAACCCTGGTGAAGGCAACTCCCCATCTCTTCCCAACCAGAGCTTCCTCCCTACAGGAACAGTCTTTTCATTAAATGTGTTACTATTGCTTGTCAGTCACTCTTTAGCCTTTAAGTCAAATATTATTTTACTTGAGAAGTTCATGAGTGTGACAGTGGACAATACTTTTCATCTTTCTACTGTGTGAGCCGTCATTCCCCCAGTTTAATGAAACTGTTCTTACAATTAAATTGTACATAATGTGCTCAGCTGTTGAAACTTCACAGAGCTGGCCCCAAACTGTTAATACACGAGTACAGAGATACCTACAAGGGCTGTGGTTGGAGCTGGTTTGGGTCAGGTTCACCCAGTACACTTTAAAATAACCTTCCACACCTCATTGCCTTATTATATTGCTGAAGTGTCACCTTCGGAGTTGCAGTTACTCAGAGCTGGATTTTTGGAGCAGGTGTGGTGGTGGGGTGTTGGGTGTGGTTTTTTCCTTTTTTATTGGGTTTTGTAGGGTTTTTTGTAGAGAAGTGTTTTAAAAGATTTGAGATTATTCAAACATTTAAAATGTGAAATGCCTGAAAATTAAATGTTTTCTTGGCCAGATGGTCCATCATCCCTGCGCCACTCAAATACTTCCTTTTTTTTTGAACAAGGATTTAAAAAGATTTCACTGCCAAAAGATCACCTCATGACATATACTGATATAGGTTTTTTCTTGCTTTATAAAAAATATATTTCCCGCAGACATTGATTAATTTTAAAGATTTCATCCAAGTATGTCTCTTTTCTTACTTGGCAGTTGTTTTTTAGATCTGCAGACCAAACAAGTGACCTTGTAAAATCTTTCAGTAATTTCCCCCCTTTTATTTTCATATTTCAGTAGAAACATTATCAGCACCTGGTGTTTTGTTATTTACTGCCTGTATTTTGATTGCCTCTTAAATCTCTTGAAATCCATCCACAAATGGCTCAGCTGCTTGGAGAATAACCATTTATTGTTTGTCTTTCTCCCTCTCACAATTAAGCAGCTCATTAAAGCACTCCCTCTATCGCTCTGTAATCGTATTCTTTGTGACCAAGAGATTTCCACTTGTGTTCTTTATCAGACTTACTCGGGTGTACACGTAAAAGTCTCATATTCCTAGTGTGTCTATCCCATTCCAATTCTCCACCACACCAGGCAACCACCTCACTGACTGGAGGTATTTGCACCGTTCTGTAGCGTGAGGAATGATGTGTTGACTCCATATGGATCTCATCCCTGCATCATGGAGAGTAGAGCAGTGGAGCAAGGATGCCAAGTCAGCCCCTGATGTAACTCCAACCCTGGTGTTGGTACCTCCACTGACCACACAGCTGCACTATCTGCCTCCCAGCCTTCCCTCCTCTCATGCTAAAGCAGTGCTGCAATGCATGACTTTCAACTTCAATGAGCAGAAAACTCAGTTCATCATTTTACTGTGCCACAGAAACGTTAAGGCAGGAGACACTGAGTTGCACATCAATGATTCCTTATTCTACTCTTACTCTTGCTCTGAAAGATGTGTTGGATATTTAAATGCTGTACTTCACTGTCATTTTCCAGCAGTGTGCCCAGGTGGCCAAGAAAGCTTGTATCAAAAATAACGTGGCCAGCAAGATGAGGGCAGTGCCTGTCCCCCTCTACTGGGCTTTAGTGAAGCCACTCCTCGAATTCTGGATTCCATTTTGGGCCCCTCACAAAACAGACATTGAGCGTGTCCAGGAAGGGATCTGGAGCAGGAGTCCCATAAGGTGCTAGGGGTGTTTAGCCTTGAGAAAAGGAGTTTTTTTTTAAAAGCAGCACCTCCTTGTTGGTGCCCCTGCAGCTCCCCTGAGGCGAGTGGGTCTTAGTACTGGGATAAAGACATTTTCTCCCCTCATTCACAGCACAGGATGGAAGGTACTATCTACCTCTTACCTACTCAGTGGTAATTATACTAAGTGTAGACACATTGAACTGATTGTGTCATGGGCTATTTTATCATGTACCTCCCTAATAATCCCAGATTTACTGAATTTATCTTCATAACATGCCTATGAAGAAAGGCTACAAATGGATTGAGCAAAAAAGTGAAGAAAAAAACCAAACCCTCTGTATTTTGGGGAGATGTAAGGGCTTGATTTGGCAGAGCTTCTAACACTATACATCTTCCTGGGCCCAGCTCCCACTGACTTAAATTGCAGCTGCAAAGTTCAGGTCTTCTCTAAATCAGACCACACAATTTCAGGATATGCAGTCAGAAAGTCAGTAATATACACACAGGAGCTGCAGGGAGAAGTGAACTGTCCAGCAGCACACAGTCCTCTGGGATAGAAAATGGAATAGTGTTGCTGAGGTATTGATAAATAAAACACTAGCTGAATAAATAGTGGAAAAAAATGCTCTTAGGCAAATAAAATTCCTAAATTGCTTAGAACAGATGAGAGCTGGTTAACTTCTGTACTACCTGAATTAGACCTGGGTGGTGTCCCTGGACAGCAGCTGATCTCGGCGGGATTTAATTATTTTTACTCCGAGATGCTCATGCCCTTCCTGAAATCCATTCTCCTCCTGTATATATGTACCATCCCTCTGTCACAGGTAAGGACAGGCAGATCCTCCACGCAATAACTTCATTCACTAAATAGCTTTGATTAATTCCCAGAATGTGTAATTCACCAGGAATGCTGAAAAGCTCACACCGTTAAACATCTGTTGAAAAGAGGATACATATGAACAAGGACAAATTAAGATTGCCCTACCAGCCTGACTTTGGACTTAACAAAATATAATGGTCTTTTGAGAATAGCTTCAGGTGTGTTCAAAGTTTCTAAAAACGCAAATTATAAAGCTCACAGAAATTCCATCCTACTGAATGAGGTTTCTACCTGCATAAGTCAGCAGTTCCTGTACATCCGTAACAAATTGAACTGTACAGTATATCTGTACTGCACACTAAGGTACTGTACAGTACCATCCACTACAAAGCCCAATCACCACCAAATATACATTTTGCAGTATGATTTTAAAAGACAGAGCAAAAAAATTAAAGAGCTGTGATCCACAAAATTCCATTCCAGGCTTTTAACGAATTATTATGGATTTGTCAGTGATGGTTAAAACTTCCCTCCCTTTTCTTCTTCTTCCTAATTGTCCTGCTTCCCATGCAGTTCCACCCCGCTTCCGAGCAATGCAGAGGGAAAGGTCAAGCTCAGTCAGTCTGGCCGATGAAATGTAGCTCCTCTCCGCGCCCCGCAGAGCTCCGGCAGCCTCGGAGCAGGGCTGTTGTGGTGCCCACTGCGCTGCAGGGCCCGCGTCCCACCGACCTCCCACCGCCACCTCCTCACCTTTGGCTGCACTTTGGTCCGACTACGAATTTGTTTTGCCTAGGGCACAAAAAGTACAGGAACGCAAGTATTACCTGAGGGGTGTAAGGATACAGAAGCAATGATACTTCTTACAAACAAGAACTAAGGGCAACGAAGATGATTAGAGGGCTGGAGCACCTCTCGTACGCGGAAAGGCTGAGAGGTGGGATTGTTCAGCCCGGAGAAAAGAAGGCTTTGGGTTCAGCCCGGAGAAAAGGAGGGTTTTTTTAAAAGAACAGCCCCTCGGCGTTGGCGCCCCGGCGCTGCCCCGCGGCGGGCGGGCGGGCGGCCGGGGGGCGGAGGGCGCGGGGCGGGCGGGCCCTGCCCCGCTCGGGGCCGCCCTGCCCGGCCGAGCCGCGGCCTCCGTGCCCCGCGCGGAGCTGCCGGCGCGCCCATGGCTCCCCCCGCGCTGCCGCTGCTGCTGCTGCTGCACCTCGCCGCCTGCTCCAAGCTCAACACCCCTAAGGTGCTGCTCCCCTTCACGCGCGGCACCCGCGTCAACTTCACGCTGCAGGCCAGCGAGGGTTGCTACCGATGGTGAGTGCAGGTGCCGCCGCCCTTTGTCCGCCTCTCCCCCCCGCAGGCACCTGCGGCGGCTCCTCAGCCCGCGGCGGGGCCTGAGGGCTCCCCGGGGAGCCGGGCCCTCCCTCACCGTGCTCACAGCTCTGCGGCCGGGTTTGGGGGGCCCAGCAGTGTGGGAGCGGACATGGGATAACCCCTGAGGGGAAAGGCTGTTTTTTGTGCAGTGGGGGTTAAACCCGCTGCAGAGGGGCAGTGTGTGGAGGCCGGGCCCTGACGGAAGGTCCCTGCTGTGGGGGAGCTTCCCGCCATGGCTCCGTGCCCGGCCTGTGCCTCACACCGTGTGCGCCCACACACACCCCTGCTTCTCCTGTACCCCCCACACCCCTGCTTCTCCTGTCCCACACACACACCTGCTTCTCCTGTACCCCACACACCCCTGCTTCTCCTGTCCCACACACACACCCCTGCTTCTCCTGTCCCACACATACACCCCTGCTTCTCCTGTACCCCACACACACCCCTGCTTCTCCTGTACCCCACACACACACCTGCTTCTCCTGTCCCACACACACCTGCTTCTCCTGTACCCCACACACCCCTGCTTCTCCTGTACCCCACACACACCCCTGCTTCTCCTGTCCCACACACACCCCTGCTTCTCCTGTCCCACACACCCCTGCTTCCCCATGTACCGTGCCCACCCTGCCTCCACACACAGCCCATGTGCCCACCCTGCTGCCTCCCACACCCGCTGTGCCACCCCACACGTTCATCCCCGTGTGTGTGGGGACAGCACCCAGGACCCGTGTGCTGCTGGTGAGGAGATGCCCTTCCCTCGCTGTGGTCAGGAGTGAAGGTCTGACCGCTTGGAGCTCTGCGTATGGACATAAAGGAGTCGGAGCTAAGCTGGGAGTCTCTCAGTGCTGCTCTCAGTGTAGGTAACAAACACCCTGAGCACAGCCATCACCTGGGAACAACAAAGTCAAGTTTGAAAAGATGAAAGCTTTCCCGGTGTTCTTTTGGTGCCGTGCACATGGGATGTACTCCGGGAAGTTCTCGCTGGGTCCTGCCTCGTGCAGGGAAAGGCCGTGGTGGTGCTGAGCGAGGGGGCTAAAGGCAGATCCCACAGCATGTGCCAGTTTAGAAACTTCATGTCAGTCTTCATGTTAGACAAGTGTTGCCAGCTCCTTGTCCTTCCTCCCCAGAATGGTAATTTGGATCAGTAATGAGCAGGAGGCAGCCACCTGAAAAAGTGGCAGTAGGGATAAGTTTAGGATGATACTTCCATATGTGCCAGATGGATGCATGTAGCAGTTTTCAGTTGTTTTTGTGGCTGGCAGTTACTGAAATACATCTTACAGGGCTATGTTTTCACTCAGTTTATTTGCTTGGTGGTCCTATGCTTCTCTAGGCTGGGTACAAACCTTTGGGATGTGACATTTTACATAGTTGAGGGTGCTTGTGTGTAAGAGCTGTAATAAATTTTATCCAAAAGTCGACTGAATGGAAGTTACTAAATGAGCTGGAATTTAATTTTTAATGGACCATTTTACTGAAACTCTCATAAGTGTGGGTTTTTTCTTTTTCCTTACTCTAATCTTTAAAGACAACTGAGTCTCTAAAAAGATTTGGTTTATGTCGTAAAGTACATTGTATAAAGCCAAAAAACAAACTCTTCAAGCACTAATAAGATCTCGGAAGTGTGGACTGTCTGTCCTGGTTTGCCAGCGAGCTGCTGGGTGATGCTGGGCTGGCTGCAGCCATTCCCACACGTGCCAGGCACTATCCAGCTGTCAGAACACCTTTGCAAATCTCACTGAAATCTGTAGATGAAAAGCGAAATGACTGTATTCTAGGGAAATACCAGATTTGGTCCACATTTGTATCTAATGCATACTTGTTTTGCTAATGAGGGTGATCTGTGGCACTGTCAGCGCGGGTTAGACTGGTGCCAGGTGCCAGCAATGGCTCGTATCCTTCACGCAGACGAGCTTCAACATCCTTTTCCATCCTCTCCCTCTGCTCTTCAAAGATTAATTTTGGTCGAGAATTGTGGAAACTATACCGAGCTCATTCTCTGTGTGCCGTCATTTTCTGTGCCAGAGTCGTTAATGTGCATTTATTCACTTCTGCTTTGCAGAGCCTGGCAGGATGTGGGTGGTAAAACTCAACGTGTGCTCAGCAAACGCTCGGGAGGGAGGAAGCAGGAGCTCTGTGTGACTGAGCAGCAGCAGCAGAGCTCAGAGCTCGGGAGGTGCTCAGGTTGCATCTGAGGCTCTGTTTCCCTCCACATCCTTGCCCCCGCAGGCCCTGAGCTGGGGGGGTTGGAAGGCAGTGACTTGGAGGGACAGGCGGCTCCGCAGCATTTGCTGACAAGGTTGCTGTGCCTTCCTTTAGAGCTGTCAGGAAGAGCTGTTACCGGAGGGGGGCTGTTAAACTGAAGAAGTGAGGAAGTCCCAAATGTAATGGCTTCAGAAGTAGTTACTTTTCCTCATATTTTCAAAATGATGGGTGGGTTTGTGTGCATGAAACCAGGGCTTTGGAATGGAAATGGGAAGATTCAGGCCCTTTGTGTCTGGAGAGGGGACTGAGGTTGTGTTATACCGTTGGTTGATTGCGAGTTTAGAGGTACCAATGAAAGCTGGTTTTGTGCAGCAGCATCTGACTTCAAAAAACATTGTTTGAGGGCCTGCATTACTCACCTCAAACATTCAGAATTCGTATCTGAGTGTCCAGTTTCGTGAAAATCAGTCTATGGCACGTTGTGACCTTATTTCTTTCCATTTTCCCTTTGAGGCTTCAAGTTTTCCTCTGAAAGCAGGAGATTTTCAAAGTGATTGTAGCAGTCTCTGAGAATTCCAGTGATTCAAAGGGGAAAAGGTCAAGTTCTATCACCATCCCAGCAGATTGGGAGCAATGATAAAGTTACAAGCATGGCTCTAAAGTATTTTCTGATTTTCAAGATGCTCATGCCTTCTGGAGTTTTGGTTGCCTTTACATTCAAATTATTTTTTGGAAAAGCTTTGTTTTCAAAGCATATGGTGTTTCCATCTGTAAATATTGTACACTATCTTCAGGTACTATCTTCAGGGATAAAACACAGTGTGTGTGGATATATTTAGCTTTTAAATTACGTCTGTATTTATCTGTTAATTACCTTAATCCAGAAATTACACCTGGAAGAATGAAAGTATTCAGCAGCAGAATTCTCTCCTTGATACCTGCCTTTGGAGGAGGGGAAGACACACAAAACAAATAAACATTTTCCCCCGAGGTACACAGCATGGCTGGGTATTTATAGCAGAAATTACAGATATGTTTGCATGTCTGTAACAGAATTTCATACAGTGTAGAATTGAGATGCGTGATGAGAGCCGGTGGAAGGTCTCGGTTTCAGGAGTTGGCTTTGAGACATTCAACTGATTGGTTTGAACCGTTGAAGGGAGAGGTTTTGCTGTGTGAGGTTAGAGCTGTAGGAGGCTGTTCACAGGTGATAATGGCCCTGACCACTGCTGTTTGTTGCCAATATAGCACCACCTTAAATAAAAGGTGTGCTACTGAAGCCCTCACTGACTCGGTTATGTCAGCCTGGTTGAGGAGAGGAGCAGGGGGCAGTGCTGGAGGGAGAGATCCGGGAGTGGTGGTTGAGCTGTGTGATGCACAGGTCCTTCCAGAGAGCACAAACCCAACACACAGCTGGCAGAGCTCATTGTCCAGCTCCTTATCATGTCATGTTTTTGACACTGGCTTGTAAATTGATCTTACTGCTCCGTGAGATGGATGCAGTGGCTTATGTGTTTTAAAAATGTGTATCAGTGGTGCTGTTCATTGAGGTCTGTTTTGCCGTGAGACCAATAGTCCCATCTCTGGCAGTTGTGGTGGTGGTTTGTGAGTTACCTGCTTTCGTTGCTGGGCACCCATGAAATGTTTTAAGACTCACTCTGGGTGCAGGTCTCATCTTAGTAATGACACACGTGAGAAGTTTCAACAGAGTGGATAATTTGAAATAATGCAAAATGGGACATGTGTTTGGCAGTAAACACCATTTTTTAGTTTTCTAATTTGCAATCAGGCTAAGTTTATTTCAGAACAGTTTGTGTAGACTGAGCTTTATTTATTGCATTCTCCTAGCTGGAAGGTGACTATCATTGGTGTGCAAGCTGTTTTCCTTCATGCACCTAGAAATGTGGTGAAAAGAAGCACTTATGGTAAAATGATTTTGGGCACCAGTTGATTTGACAAAATGTCCAAGTTTCAGTTGGGCATCTGTGTTGGATTTTGGGAACTATCAGCACTGGCTTACCTCTGCTTCCTTTGAAGTTAACGGGCATGCCAGCTGATCGCCAGTGTAAAATCCCAGGAGCAGAAGCTCCATCCTTGGCTCACTCTGTGCTGTGTGATGTTTCCTTTTGCTTTTAAAGCAGAACTGGATGGAGGATTTAAAATTTTTTTTCTGGCTGCTTTTTATTTTCCCAGTACAGTAAGAAACATCCTAGAAGAGGATTGAGTGAACAATAGAGACATAATCTGCCAGTGGGCTGTTAAAAATCCTGAAGAGTGGAGGGAACTCTGCCAGGCTCCCTTTCTGCCTTTTCTTTGGAATGGGTTCAGTTCCCATATCCTTGATTCTCTGGGAATCTGTTTTTTATCATACAACTACTGTTGCCCAAATGCTCTT